TGCTATTAATAAAGCTCAAAGTTGGACTCAGTTATTACGTATTTTCAGATAATATGCAATATTTTATAAAATTCAAAGAATCATAGTTCACAGTGGACACGCTTCTAGCAACCTGAAAGTCAAGTGGCCAATAAATCGCCAACCCCCCCTGATATCAGAGGAATCCATTGTCCAATGAATACTTGATAGAGAAATAAACAAAATAAGCCTGCTAACTAATCATCTGCGAAAAACCAGCTCCTGTCTACCCGTCTGACCGAAATGTCGATAAGGCAAACTAATCGCGAATCGCGTCGAATTCTTACAAAAGAGCCCCTAAGGGGGCGATTAGATCTCACGCAGTCACAAATCACTCATCAAGAATTAGCAGCAGTGGGGTCAACATCCACTATATAAAGAGCTCCCTGGACGGACTTCCAATCAGAGTGTAAGTACGCTTCCACCTACAACCAGCATGTTCCTGCTAAAGAGTCTTGCGTGCCTCGTCCTTCTGGCGGTGGCCAATGGCCAGTTCGACACCAACTACGCCTCCGGGCGCAGTGGCATGGTGCACCTCTTCGAGTGGAAGTGGGACGACATCGCCGCCGAGTGCGAGAACTTCCTGGGTCCCAATGGCTTTGCCGGAGTGCAGGTGAGTGTGGCACTAGTTTCCCCCCGAAAGGACTCCTGAATGAGAGACATTCCCTAACAGGTGTCCCCCGTTAACGAGAACGCCGTGAAGGACAGCCGCCCCTGGTGGGAGCGGTACCAGCCCATCTCCTACAAGCTGGTCACCCGCTCCGGAAACGAGGAGCAGTTCGCCAGCATGGTCAGGCGCTGCAACTCGGCGGGAGTGCGCATCTACGTGGACGTGATCTTCAACCACATGGCCGCCGACGGAGGCACCTACGGCACTGGGGGCAGCACGGCCACCCCCAGCAGCAAGAGCTACCCCGCAGTGCCCTTCTCCTCGCTGGACTTCAACCCCACGTGCGCCATCACAAACTACAACGACGCCAACCAGGTGCGCAACTGCGAGCTGGTCGGCCTGCGCGACCTCAACCAGGGCAACTCCTACGTGCAGGAGAAGGTGGCCGAGTTCCTGAACCACCTCATTGACCTCGGAGTGGCCGGCTTCCGGGTGGACGCCGCCAAGCACATGTGGCCGGCGGACCTGGGCGCCATCTACGGCCGCCTCAAGAACCTGAACACGGACCACGGCTTCGCCTCGGGAGCCAGGGCCTACATCGCGCAGGAGGTCATCGACATGGGCGGCGAGGCCATCAGCAAGTCGGAGTACACCGGCCTGGGCGCCATCACCGAGTTCCGCCACTCGGACTCCATCGGAAAGGTCTTCCGCGGCAAGGACCAGCTGCGGTACCTGGTGAACTGGGGCACCGCCTGGGGCTTCGCCGCCTCCGACCGTTCCCTGGTCTTCGTGGACAACCACGACAACCAGCGCGGTCATGGAGCCGGAGGCGCCGACGTGCTCACCTACAAGGTGCCCAAGCAGTACAAGATGGCCTCCGCCTTCATGCTGGCGCACCCCTTCGGCACCCCGCGCGTGATGTCCTCCTTCTCCTTCTCGAACACGGACCAGGGACCCCCGACCACCGACGGCCACAACATCGCCTCGCCCATCTTCAACAGCGACCTCTCCTGCGGCGGCGGGTGGGTGTGCGAGCACCGCTGGCGCCAGATCTACAGCATGGTGGCCTTCAGGAACGCAGTGGGATCCGACGGCATCCAGAACTGGTGGGACAACGGCAGCAACCAGATCGCCTTCAGCCGCGGCAGCAGGGGCTTCGTGGCCTTCAACAACGACAACTACGACCTGAACAGCTCCCTGCAGACGGGACTGCCCGCCGGCACCTACTGCGACGTGATCTCGGGCGCCAAGATCGGCTCCTCCTGCACCGGAAAGAGCGTCTCCGTGGGATCCGACGGACGCGCCAGCATCTACATCGGCACCTCCGAGCTCGACGGTGTGCTGGCCATCCACGTCGGCTCCAAGTTGTGAGCAACTGGGCCAGGGATTGAGCCGCAGCCCGTTCACTTCATTGACATTACTTCTTTTAAAAAATATATGTGACGAGATTATTAATACGCTTTGTTTACTCTTGGGGTGATACAGTCCTATTTACATATATTGTCGACTGCTTTTTAAAACCATTGATTCGATTTCATGAAAATTCTCAGCTTATTAACTGAACAGTTATTTTTGAAAACTTATTGGCTTGAGGAATTATAATATGACAAGACTGATAATGAAGGTTGCGTTTAATATTTTCTACCCAGTTGGAAGTTACAAAATATGGTTTTGCACAAAACGAGGTGAGAAAGAGCTTAAGGTCAAACAAAGAAAAACGCACAGGATGTGGCCACAATGGAATCCTCATTCCCGAGTCTGCTGCCTCCTCATCTCCTTGTTCATCATCATTTGCAGCCGGCTGATCACGGGCACCATCATCTGGAGGCCCAGGTGCTGCTCCAAGGTCTGGCTGATCTCCAGATGGAGGGCCTGCTCCAGGGACTCGCTGATGTTGCGCTTCTCGACGATGTCCACCTGCGGCACCTCCAAAGGATAGTTCGAGGGGCAGGTGAACACCAACTGAAGGGCAAAGCCTCCCTGCTCGCCCGCTCCCGAATTCGCTCCGTCCTCGTAGTTTTGAGTGGCCAATGGAACCTTCAATTGCAAACTTGGGCGACGGGCCAAAACCACGTAAGCCAGGCCCAAATAGTGCATTGTTCGCACCTCATTTTCCTGCAAATTCCCGAAAAACCTCGCTGCCCTCACAGCATCCCAGTTGTCTGGTGAATCCCGCACCACAACTTTTCCGCCATCTCCCCGCTTAATGTGCCTCATCCTTGGGTAATTTTGAATTTTGACTATTTCTTTTTTGTAATTTTGCTGCTTCCCCTGAACGTCTCTTCCTACTCCACCGAAATTATTTGAAATGTAATGCCAGGCCATGTCAGCAGAGGCGAACAAAGTTGTAAGCCGAGATTTGCATAGTCCCATCAAAGCAATAACAGATGGATGGAAGGCTATCATAAGATTGAAGATCTCTGGGGGCTGGTGGTTGAAATGAAACAACCGCTGGTGAATTTTCAATGCTCTACTTAGAGCAACAAACATTGTTCGTTGATTTTATGGTATTTTTCTAATAACGAAACGAAGTTAAACAGCGAAAAAAGTAGTAATCAGTAGTAGTAAAGTAGTAGTAGTAAATAGTTAAGCCATATTTAATTTAAACAAAAGGCATTTAAATCAAATAGGATATGTTTAATCTAATATTTTACACATCAAAATATTTGAATATTAAATCATTTATTTTATATGCACTGTATTATTTATTATGGTTTAAATTTTAATTTAAATATTATATAAAATATTAAATTCAATAGTCAGATATATATTTTTTTTATATTCCATTTTTAGTGTAGTTATAACTAGAGAAAGTTATTAAAAGCATTGAGTATTTGATATAAATCTATGCAAAATAATAATAGAAGTTGAGTGTTGGAAATATCATGTTAAGTGAAAACATTTTTTTGCAAAGTTTCAAAAGCACAACTACTAGAAAACCAAAAACAATCTTCAAATTGACATACCCTTCTTAAGTAGGGCATCAGAAATAAAACCAGTATATACTTGTGCCATGAATATGCTCGCATTAATACCCTCGCCGCAAATTGAGTTTGTTCGTTTTGGCTGATTTGATTAGCCTAGATTTGCTGGTCTCAGTGCTATGCATATTAGTTGTGTGATTATCGCGAAAATTGGCAAACAGACGGCGTCAGAAACCACCACCCCCAAATAGTTTTCAGCTTCAGACGTGCGTGCGAATTTTCTCTTTGCCTTCGGCACTTGGGAAATCTTCCACGCATATGAGTAACATTTTTATTGGCCTCGAGAAATTTGCATTTTAGAGCAGTTTTCGGTCACGTGAGACGGTTTGATTAGGCCACATGTGTCGCTGGGGGGTGGGGCTTTCATTTGGGTGGAGCTTTCCCTTTGATTTCACACTCCAACGCCTTCGCATAGTGCCCTTCCTAATGAGCGATGATGAACGAGGAGCCATGTTCACCTCGCTGTCAATCAGGTTTCAATAAAGTAGTCTCAATCTTCATTAGCATGGAAAGCTAAGGATGGATGTACTACGAAAAACCCTACCATCGAACTCACTCAAACATGTTGCATTGCCCCTACAACGGAGCCGAATGCTTTGGGGCCTTTCCACCCACTTATCCGCCCGCTTTTTCGAGGCTCCTTTCGGCTGGCTGGCGGTTGGCTGGCTCTCCAGTTCGTTTGGGCCACGTTTGAGGCTCCTCCATTGAGTTGGTAACGCCCCGGAACGTGACCAAATCGCTTTCGGGGCGGGCTCGCCAAATAATCAGGCAGAGGAAGTCGTGTCCCCCCGGAATACTTGCAGATTTTCCCTCAATCTTGTATTGACTTTTTGCCTCTGTCGACGGGGATTTAAAGAAACCACCACTGTGATTTTGCCAGGAATGGGGCTTGCTGCTTTGTTTTTGAGTGCAGAGCTTCCTGTCGCTGTTGTGGAAACTTTCTGAAGCACTTGTTTACGATTTGAAGTGCATTTCTGGGAGAGTGGCTGAGAGTGTAGGAAGGGGTCTGCCATAATTTGGACTGCAGTCTGCGCCCATCGATTGAGATTGCGATCTCCGGCCAAAAGTGTGAAAAGTTTTCCACTTCAACTTCGGGCAAATCTCAGCTGCCAAGTTCTTTGGTTATGCTAATGAGCCAAACTTTGGCCACTCCGATCGTTGGCATGTCTATAATTGAAAGTTTTGTCTATTTTCGGTTGCTCTATTGGAGTGCTCTGCGGATGGAGCAAGGTCACTCGAGGGAACCCCACCCACCCATCCATCCAAAGACACACCCAGTGTCGAACAAGCAAATCATATTTGGAGCCCCAATCGTCTGATAAGATATCAACTTTGTTGAAGGTTATAAGAGGCCCAATGAGCATCGCTGGCTGAGCATTGAGTTTGATTGCCCGGCATGAAGTACTCGACCTTGCTAGTTCTGGGTCTCCTTTTGGCCCTGGCCCTCGGTTGCCAAGCCAAATCAAAGTCCAAGTCGAAGAAAAAAAAGCAAAAGGAGGCGATCCTGCCACTCGCCGAATCCTGCAAGGCGGCCAACTGCAAGCTCCCCGATTGCCGCTGCTCCGATGCAGTTCTGCCCATATCCAAGTTCCAGGGAAAAGAAAACGAGATTCCGCAGGTGAGAAGGGGAGAATTTTGTACATAACTACTTTTTGGGTACTAAAATTTGGAGGTCTGTTATCTAAAAAGGTTTTCTTAACCACGACTATTAGCACTCTAAAAGTGTCAGAAAAGAAAAAAATCAAATCCTTTATGCCCAATTTTAATATTAAATAATTTAATAGAAAACGTTTTTCTTTTTTTTACTTTTGGATACTACAATTTTGAAGTTCTTCATCCAAATAGGACTGCTTTCCTTCGACTAAACATATTTCAATTTAAAATGTTTGAAACCAAAACTTCAAACCTTAAATTTGGATTATTTTAGGCACTAAAGACTTACGATTACTATAATAAAACAGAAATTGGTGTGATATTTCTAGAAAGCATGAACCGACATTAAAAGTTAAAAGTATTTATCTTTCGATGTCATTACAATCTATATATATATTTTAAGGAACATTTTAAAGTTTTATTTAGTTGAAACTAAAATGGGTTCAATTTTCTGACTTTTTCTTCACCATAGTTCGTGACGATTACTTTCGATGATGCCGTGAATGCCGTGAACTACGCCCAGTACGAGCTGCTCTTCGAGGGACTGGTGAATCCGGATGGCTGTGGGGCAGCCGGAACCTTCTTCCTGTCGCACGAGTACACGGATTATGTGCGGGTGAATGCCCTCTATAGGGCTGGTCACGAGATTGCCCTGCACTCGGTGACCCATGGCGATGGTACGGATTACTGGCGATCGGCGGATGTGGCCACCGTGGAGCGCGAATTTGGAGCGCAGTTGAAAATGCTGGAGGCCTTCGCCAAGGTGGATCCCAAGAGGGTGCAGGGAATGAGACTGCCGTTCCTCCAGATCTCGGGCAACAACACCTTCGTGGCAGCTCGTCGTCTGGGTCTGAGCTACGACAGTTCCTGGCCCACGCAGCAGTTCAAGGACCCGGCCATGTGGCCCTACACCCTGGACTACAAGTCGCAGCAGGACTGCCAGATCGGTCCCTGTCCACAGGCCTCGATTCCCGGACTGTGGGTCAATCCCATGGTGACGTGGACCGACACCGAGGGCTACAGCTGCTCCATGATCGACGCCTGTGTGTATCCGCCGGAGGACGACGTGGACGAGCTGTTCTACTGGATGCTGGAGAACTTCAACAGGCACTATCTGGGCAGTCGGGCGCCCTTCGGAATGTATCTGCATGCAGCTTGGTTTTCGCGGGGTCGCAACTACTTTGGCGCCTTCAAAAAGTGAGTAAAGTTGGGTTTAGAGTATATCACAGTATAATGGACTGAGAAGCATTCATTGTGTAGGGTCTTTAAAAAACTACATAGCAATTTAAAGCTTGAATGCTTTATATAGATAGTTTAACTCAGACATTTGTGAAATGCCAACCACATTTTAAGAGCACCAAATTTTAGGTATACATTTTCAAGTCATAGGGGATTACTGTGCCCTTATAGAGGACAAGAGTTCAAGAATACTTTTACTACATATTAAATGAATATTTCACTGCCTCTGAAGAGAAAGTAAAGTTTAAAGCAATGAGTTTAAAAACAAGCAAATCTGTTGTAATTTACCTTACTTTACCAATAGAATTTAAAAATACTTTTATTTTGTCAGGAATCCCTCCTCATAATATTTTCCCTTTCTCGTTTTTAACCACTGCAGATTCATCAACCACCTGAACACCTACCCGGATGTGTATTTCACCGGCATTTCGCGGATGCTGGAGTACGTGAAGAGGCCCGTGCTCGGAGCTCCGTTCAAGGACTGTCCCGAACTGCCGGAGGCGGAGTGCCGGGCGGTCCAATGCCGCGTCCAGAAGATGTCCACCGGAGAGGAGCGCTACATGAGCGTGTGCGACAAGTGTCCGGCCGTCTATCCCTGGCTGGACAATCCTCTAGGACAGCAGCAGTAAGCCCGCCAGCCATTGGCCAATAAAGAGTGTACACAGAGAACAATCAATATGATTTTCTATTGGGTAAATGATTAAATTAGCAAAATTATCACGGTTTGATAAATCCTACTTACCTTTTTATTTTTAAAAGACTATTTGCATCTTGTGACCCGTTTTTCAAATTGTTTTAGACTTAGTTTTATTTGTTTTTATATTTTGATAATTGGCTTAAAACTGGGGATGAAGTAAAAAACGAGCCTTTAAAATAAAAATATCAAATAAGTATTATTTTCGGTTTTTGTTGTCCTACATACTTTTGTAATGCTTTTGTTTCCCGAATTCGTTATTCAATTTGATCTGATAAATTTGATAGGTTTTTCTCTTTGTGTACTTTATAATGAAGCTGCCATGTTTTTTGTACGTGAAGCAGTTGACATTTCCCATCTCTAAGCCAAATTTACAGTCGCCACACCACCGACATCGCTGATAAATGAGCTCAAATTATGTTTCTGGCCGTGAGACGCTTAATTAACTCATTCAGCGGAGCAGAGCCCCCGAGTGTAGTCATATTTCATGGCCTCTTCGTGAATTAATGCGCCAACTTCCGGACCTGAATCCTGTTTTGGGGTCCTGGTCCTGTCAATGCAGCTGCTACCTGTAAATGACGTTCGACCGTCTGGCCAGAATTCGGTTGCATTTTTGTTAATGGACCTCTAACTAATGACAGCCCCCGGGTTGCATATCAGTCAGAGTTTGAGTTTAAGGATGAGGATGTGGTTGAGGATCCGCCGGAGTGGGTCTCCTGTCCGGCCGCATTTTGCGGTTGCTGTCGCAAATTATGTATGCGGTTAGCCGAGCCATCTCGTCCCCGGGGTAACGTTCTCGTCCAGAACGGAGGCGGGTTGAACATGGAAACGACCACAACATATTGGTTGATAGTTGACCAAGGAGCGGGTGGAGCTTTAGGCAGGCAATTCTACCACATACCCTGAATCAAATGTGTTAAAATGGTCCATGCCTGAAGTGCTGGTAGGGGCTACTGCCCTCTTTGTATAGAAATTTCCCGGCTGGGGTTGCTGATGACTTAGGAGGCACTCAACAACACCCCAAGCAGCAATATTTATATGTGGTTAAGTTATGTGGGATATTGTAAATGAAAATATTCACCGTTTAAACTGACTTAAAGAGTTTTACTTACTTTTAAAAAAGAAATCAATAAAAGGGAATGCTTAATTACGAGGTTGTATTTTGAATGAATATTTGGAAAGCCAAAGGCGAGTCCGGAACACCACCAAGTGTTAGGTAATTTTGGGACTGTCCCAGTATTAAACCTTCCATTAATTTTATCTACTTCGCCATATAATTTATTTTACATTTCTAGGCTCGCTTATGACAATGTTTGTTGGCCAGGACATAGCCCAGCGGGCAGTTGGCCTCCAGGATGTTGTAGGGCTGCACCTGCATCGCTCCATTAGGGCTCCACATTTCCTCCAAACTTATCTGCATGGCTTCATTCGGGTCAGCTGCATTGAGTGCACCAGTTTCAGCCTCTACGATTTCGCTGTCCATGGCCAACGTTTCCAGGAGCAGATTGTTGATGACCAAGATGCAAAGAAAGCAGACAAAGCCAGACCAAGATGACATGTTTCGATGTCTCTGAATAGTTAAATTGAACTGATTCAAAATCACAGTTTTCAGCTGACCATTACGACTCGATGGTCCAGACAATTGTGAAAGTAGCTTATTGCATATAAGGCAACTAGATACAAGGGCTCTTCAATCCCAAACGATGATGATTATGAGAATGATGATGAAATCGCTTCGTTCGAAGGTTGCCAGTAAATCAGATCTGCTTTGATAGATTTCCATTTGCATTTCAGAGGGAAATACATAGACAACAAGCAAACAATGCGGCAGACAGAAAAACAACCTCGCTTTTATGAAAATGAAGAAAATGCTTGAGAAAACCGCAACAAAAAGTGGGCAAATATTTGCTGATTACTTTCCGAAACTTGCACTGATTAACAGCAAACGCAGCAGGACCATTGTCCTTTTGCCAGGACACTCCATTCCATTCCATCCATTTCATTCCACCCTTGCAATTAGAGCCTTATTCCCTGTTTAGCATAAAATTCGCAGGGCTGTCATAAATAAATGACTCTACGACTCTTTTTGGCCCTGCCTCAGCTGCCTGTGACCTAAACAGGCATTATTTTAATGTACTTTTATGTGGTACACAGCGACAAAAAAAGGTTTCCAGTATTTAACCTCGGCTTGCCCCCACACGCATGCCAAATGACATTTTTATGTTTCAATTTTTGTTTGCTTTTCTTTTTACTTCGCGAAAATTATGCCCACCACCCAGAAGGCACTTTGATGATGATGATGTGGGTTGGTGGGTTGGTTGGTTGGTTGGTTGGTGGGTCGTGGGTAAAAAAGGGCAGCATATTGAGGGCTTGCGGTGGTTGACAATAGAATTGTCAAAATTATTTGCTCAAATTGCCGACATTTATTAGGCAGGTTACGGCTCGGGCTCAGGTTACTTCGTAAAAAGACACTTAGGGGATGAGATATGGTTTTTTACGCATCTGACTAGGAAACATTTTGTAATGACTACATCTAATCATAACTGGAGGTTAATTTGGAAGGCATTTGTGTATAAATGTTTTTTTGAAGATTGGCAATACAGTTTCTGATTTAGTATCAACTATAATTGTAAACTCACAATAATTAAATCATAGCTACAGGTTGATTTCCCAGAGGCTTTTGCCTCTTAGAATTGTAAACAAAGTACTTGAAAACTTAAAGTACTAGCTGCTGCGACCATCGACTAACTTACATATGAGGTTTGTGTGTAATTTATTTATTAATGCATATTATTTTATGGAAATGTTTTAATAATTGTATGTGCTTCATTTTGGATTGTTTGAGGAACTCTATTATAACTCTGTTGTTGTAAATGTTTTTCGAGAAAGTTCTATAGACAATACAGTTCCAGATTTATTTACAACTTCAAGCAGAAATTTACCTTCAGAATAATTTGAGTGAAAAGTGAAAATTGTATTATTAATTTTTCCCGAACTCGAATGAATTTGTTGCAGTTTAAATGTGTATATTATGGAATAATATACAGCCCGTTGTAAATTATCAGTTGTTGCCTTGCAAAATGATTATTTGCGTTGGCGACTGCATCGGCTCGCGTTTATTCGAGCGATTCGTTGATTATTCAGTTAATTATGTAAGAGGTTTCCAATTGCCACCCATGTAGGCCTTATCATCGTGCAAACATACTCGAGTGTGTGCGCTACCAGCAGGTTGTAGAACTAACGCCTCTCGACTTCTGTCTCTCGAAGTGAATCTGAATCCAAAAACTGAATCAGAAACTGAGCCGGAAACCGAGACTCGAGAGACTCAGAAACTCAGAAACTCAGTCTCGAGTGCGATATTGGCGAGCGTGAACGTGTTTACTTGGGCTTCGATTGCAAGTACACAAGACCGAGTTTAAGATGGCAATTACGCGGCGGCTTTCCTGGCCCAAGCTGCTGTTTTTGTTTGTCTGGCTGTGCCTGGCATTGGACCCAAATTGTGCGGCTCGAGTGCCCGGCGATCGGTTTGCGTTTCCCTCAGAGTCCCAGCCCAATGCCACGGCCATTCGACTGGAGTCTAGAATCAAAGAAATCGATCGGGAACTGGAGGAGGTGACCAGAATGACGAAAATTAGCATCTTGATCCCCGAGGAAAACAAGAAGGGCACACCTAGAACAACTGATGGCGAAAACAAGTCAGAAAAACCCGGAAATACGTCGGTTGAAGCCAGAAACGTGACCGAAATCCCAAGTAATTCCACGAGTAAACCAATCCAAGTAATCCGTACCCCTCCGAAAAATCAAGCCCACCAATCCAGCGAATCCAAGATGATCACATTCGCCAAAGAGCCGGATTCAGACGAACCCGCTCCTTGGGACCAAACTGAACCCACCGTTGCCTCCAACAGGAGTAGTGTGGTGATTGGTCCGAGAATTACCCTGGAAACCCTTCGAATTTGTCCGGCAGGTACTACCCTGAGTAATGATCACTGTCGCAAGATTGCCTAGCTGAGTTTTGAAATCAATAAATTGAAATCATAGTCCTGCTATTGGAAAAACAAAAAATAAATAAAAGATGGTATAAATTGTCAAAATATCCTTTATGATATTCCTTAAAAAAAAATGTTTTGTTTAAATCCAAACATAAGTATTGTCAAGACATTTAAGCAGTTATTTGTCAAAGAAAATTATTAAATAAAAAATAAAATATTACTTCAAGATTTTTAAAGATATTTTGAAGTAATTTGCCAAAGATTAACCTAAAAAGGTTGTTTACTTATTATATCCATTTATGACCAAACATTTAAATTGTCAATTTAATTCTGAAAATATCATTCCAATTGTAATTCCATTGTAAAGCAATTCAGAATTTAATTTTAAAATTAAAATAGAAAAATAAATTATAACTTAAAGTCTTTAAAGTTTTCACTGACAATTTCTGTCAGTGTAGACTAGTACAGGTATATCTGAAAAGCTCATTGCTGCTCTTCTGCTTTGTTTACGTTTTGTTTTTATGGGAGAGCGGCTGTGTATTGCTCTCCCACTCACTTTTTCCCACAAATTCACTGCGATGTTTTATCTGGTTTCTGGTGGGAATGGGAATGTGAATGTGATTGCGAATGGAAAGATGATCGCCAGACAGTCGTCTCCACGTTCAGTCTTCGAAGCTTCTTCAAAGCAATCAAACGCGCATCTCTTAGTAAAATGACGATTCGTATTAACCCATTGGTGCTGTGCTTCCTGCCGGTGATTTTCCTACTTATCGAGGGAAGAAGTAAGCCCTGTATCGACGATCGCATTGTGTTTCCCAAGGACAGTGATGATGATGTTGATTCACACTCGAAAGTTACCTACCTAAATGAGAACTCAACTACAACAACTACGGTGGCACCACCGAGCACAGTAACCACACTCCTGGAAATGGAAACAAACACCACAGAAGCGGTATTCACGGCATCAGAGGAGCTGATCAATGGAACCACCACTGAGCAGCCCGTCATAGACAATCGAATACTGTTCGAGACGACCCCAAAATGCAAAGAGGGCTTCGAGCTGCGTGCCAATCGCTGTCGAAAGTCGGCTTAGTCGTTTCGTTAGTGCGTAAGATCGATGTTTAGTCAATAAAGTGATATTTGATAGAACCAAAGCCAGTGATTGATTGTCCAACTGTTTGTCGGTGACTACTCAAAACCATTTGCTGGCACACACACAAAAATCCCCTTAGAAAACAAATTTCACATCAGTGGGAGAGAAACTTTTGGGGGAAACTTCACGTCATGTAAAACAGAGTAATGTAATGGCATAGTGAGTCAGTCAAAACCACTTCCCGGTGCATTTAGCTGACACTGGTATTTTCGTCTCCTCGGTTCTGTGTACTGATGTGATGCCCTATCTGATGTCACGAACTTGGCTTATCAGCAGCTCAAAAAATATAATACTCACTCCGGCTAGATCAGCTTCTGAGTCGAGAGTGCTGTTCAGTCTCTTTCGAATATTCAACACAAGTGGTTGTTTGACTCCTCCGATTCGAAAATGTTTTTCCAACTCTTATCTCTGAGGTTGGCTCTGGCATTGATCTTTTTGATCGGTGGACAATGGGCGACGGCCCGACCACAAAATCCTTACTATGTGGAAAACGGTGGACAAGGATCCCAGTGAGTATACCACTCTGGTTTTGTTAGGAATTGATTAAGATTGAACAACTTGAGAGCAAATGGGCTTGTGGAAGACAAAGAAAAATTGTACATCTAACACTAAAAATATTACAGTGAGTTCTATGAGCCAAGGCTGTCAGCATCTCATTTGCATCTCATTCTCGGCTTTTCATATTCGGCAAGCTTTTGTGTTTTCGTAGCTTAATGGCTCTTTTAAAATGCAGTCTAAGGATTTTTGAAATAAGTTTTTATTTGTTTTTAATTATTTGAAAATTTTAATCTCTTTAATATTATAATACAATATCTGTATATATTAATTTTTTATAATTATAATTTTTTTATTTTGTTTTTGTTTGCTCTGCGTAGCTTAGCTTGACATTTAGATACAAATTATATTTGACAAATGTAATTACCTTTCCCATTCTTCAGGCGTTATCATCATCATGGCCACCATGGTCATGGATACGGACATGGACATGGTCCAGGACATGGCTCACCCAACTTTGGTGGTCCTCCATCGTATAATCCCTATAATGTACAATCTGGTGACCCATTTCGTGGAGGACATCAACCTGGTGGCCATTTCGGAGGTCAGAACTTCCCCCAACCTGGTGGAGATTATAACAGAGGACAATCGGGATTCCGCCAACCTGGAGGAGATTTCAACAGGGGTCAGCCCGGTTTTCCACAACCAGGAGGAGATTTTAACAGGGGTCAGCCCGGTTTTCCACAACCAGGAGGAGATTTCAACAGAGGCCAGCACGGTTTTCGTCAACCAGGAGGAGACTTTAACAGGGGACAACATGGATTTCAGCAACCTGAGGGAAAGTTGCCAGATAGCGATGAGCAGTTACCCACTTATTTTGGCGGATTCCAGCAACCAGGTAGTGGCGGAAATACCCTACAGCCTCGACCTGGACAAAACCCAGGTGGATTCCAACAGCCTGGCCGAAACCAAGGTGATTTCCAACAGCCAGGGCAAGGCCAAGGTGGATTCCAACAGCCGGATCAAAATGCAGGTGGATTCCAACAGCCAGGACGAAATCAAGGTGGCTTCCAACAGCCTGGACTAAGCCAAGGAGGTTTCCAACAGCCAGGTCAAAGCCAAGGTGGATTCCAACAGCCGGGTCAAAATTCAGGTGGATTCCAACAGCCTGGCCTAAGCCAAGGAGGTTTCCAACAGCCTGGTCAAAACCAAGGAGGTTTCCAGCAGCCAAGACCGAATCAGGGACAAAAACCAGGAACCCCAACTAATACCATCCAACCTCGCCCCGGCAGTCAAGATGAGGACTTCTACACAGGGTTTAATTTCCAGTCTCCCAAGACCTTGCAGCCAAGACCTGGCCAGGATCAGGAGATCGGAGGCACTGGCTCTCACAATACCATCCAACCGCTCCCTGGGCAGCAACAAACCGTTTACCACCAGGACTCATCGCCCGACAATGTGGGCCAAAACATCAATGACCTATTCAACACCCAGGACTTTCTGTCGCCCGATCTGAGCCAGACTTCGGCAGTCCACAGAGATCCCAAGTCGGAGGCAGAGGAAGTGAATCCCGATTCGGTCAATGAGCGCAATCTGTTCGACACGGATCCCAAGTGCTCGGATGGCACCAAACTCATGGCAGGTCGTTGCCGCAAGGAAGCCTAGGAAATACCAGTAGATATTCCCATCACAAAATTATTGTATACATTAAAATGCCATTGTGCCACAATAAATTCACGATTCTCTGTAATCAAAACGACACGGTTTTTTGGGGCCAGCGTTGTGATCTTTATTTAACTGATAAGCTTGTTTATGCAAGATGGGAAGTACAAGTTTTCCCCGAGATTACCTAAAAATGAATGAGTGCGCTTTAGCAACCAATAATGCGAAATCACGTATTTCAGTGTAACTACGCAATTTGTATTTATCAGTACAAATGCAATTAATTGATGAGAAGCTACTAAACTGCCTATTAACATACTGAATTAAGTCGAATTTTTTTCACGGTGACATCATATTAATGGTTGGTTATAATATATTTTCCAATATGCAACGAATCAACCTGAAATGATATTTAGTAAGCGTTTAGGTGTCGAGGGATTCGGACGTTCACCATGAAGGCTTTTATTTATCTGCAAATCACGTTGCTACTTTTTTATATAGCGTGTGCACCTGGGTTTGATTTGCATTTCGGTCGCTGCAGAAGGCCCGCTTTAGTTTGAAGTGGACTAACATTACTTAATTGAAATGTAACTTACCGGTTGGAAAATAAAACAACAATAATATTTTTTGGCTTGTCATTTTATTTATATTTAATACACGTCAACGTTTAACAGTTTTAAACAACTACGGTAAAATAGGAAATATCCAAATAGAAATTAAAAAAAAATATGTATCTACTCTGGCAAAAAAAAAAACGTAGTTGTCTAAGTATTTAATATTAAATTTAAATCTTTTTGGCTTTGATTTTCATCCGTTGCCGTTTTTAGCAAGTTTAAGTATGGGAATAAAAATAATTTTTTAATATATCATACAAAATTTTTGTTTGATATTGAAATACACGCGCTTTAAGAAGCAGAGGGAATGTAATTACTATGGTTATGGTCAAATCAAATTAATGCACCGATCTGTGTTTGTCAAATGCATTAAATATTCTTGAAATGAAGGCAGATTAAAAGGGAAATTCCTGAAATATTTTAAAACAGTTTGGGATCGGGAGTCGAGCAAAGTGCATCGCTTGTAAAATGGGACTCAATTGGAGAGAACTTGTATATCTTACCTTATTGACAATACAACTAGCACTGCTCCAAACCCAAACACTATGCCCGCCTGGTTTTTTATTTGAAAAACATTGCCGGAAAGAAACCTGAAAATTTCTCATCGGCAATAAAATACTTTATGTATACAGCCCTTTAAGATACAAACGTATCTAAGAGAATACCGCCAATGTTACACACAAAATAAATGAAAAAAAAGTATGTCAACACGAAAGAATAGTTTTATTTTAATTAAACTTGGACTCCAATAAATAGAATTGGCTATTTTAAACATATTTATATATTTTTTTGTTCGCATGTTTATAATATTTTAGTATCGATAAATAAGCCACTACAGCAGCTAACGAAAATAAAAGCAACATTAATTTATATTGGCTTGTCATTTTAGTAATAATTAAAACACAACTACATTTAGCAGTTTAAGATACGGTAAAAAAGAAATATCCAAAAAAAAATTATATAATTACAAGGGAAATAAATGCAGAAAGTTCAAGAATTCAATAGTATATCTAAATATTTCATAAACTATTTACAGAATAGATATTAAAATTTAAAATTTAACAATAATTATTTGGCATTGTAATTTAATTTGAAATTACAAAATTTGTTTTCAATTGCCAGATATTTACTTTTTCTATTTAATTTTTTACAAGTGTTTGAGATTAATATAATCCGAACAACGTAGCATACAGGATGTAATTAGTAACATGGACTAATCAAATTAATGGACGGATCGCCGCCTGTCGAATGCATTAAATATTCTTGAAATAAATGCAGATAGCAAGGGAAATTAATAAAACATTTTAAAACTGGCCAAGGCTCTTGCGAAAAATAAGTTTGGGATCGGAAGTCGAGCAAAGAGCATCGCTTGAAAAATGTTACTCAATTAGAAAAAAATTGTATATCTGCTTACCATAATGACAATACTGCTCGAAACTAGAAGGAAAAGAACCCGGAGAAAAGCCTGAAAACAAAAGCAATAAGGTACTTTAGTAATGCAACTTTCAAAGTTACAAATCCAACCAAGTACGTACCTCAAATGTAAGACACAAAATATATGAAACAAGAAAGAAAGCAAACTTCGGCAAGCCGAAGTTCATATACCCTTGCAGCTATTGCAAGAATTAAACATTTTTGAAAACATTAAAATTATGATTTACTTTCGTATATGTTTAAAAACATTGAAGCTATGATGATTTTCAGCTCAATTATTTGATAGTTATTTTATATATTTTTATTATTTCTAAGGGAGCTATATGATATAGACGTCCGATTTTGATAAAATTTAAACCATAATTCTGAAATATTTAACCATTGCTATATGTCGAAGAACTAAACAAAAAATTAAAAAACAGAAAAGTTATAATTTTTTTCATTTATTTTTCCGATTGTTCCTATGAGAGCTATATGATATAGTCGTCCGACTTTGATGAAATTTAAACCGTAAATCGGAAATATTTAACCATTACTAAATGTCGAAGAACTAAACAAAGAAATAAAAAACAGAAAAGTTATAATTTTTTTTCATTTATTTTTCCGATTGTTCCTATGGGAGCTATATGCTATAGTCGTCCGATTTTGATGAAATTTAAACCGTAAATCGGAAATATTTAACCATTACTAAATGTCGAAGAACTAAACAAAAAATTAAAAAACAGCAAAGTTATAATTTTTTTTCATTTATTTTTCCGATTGTTCCTATGGGAGCTATATGCTGTAGTCGTCCGATCCGGCTCGTTCCGACTTATATACTACCTGCAATAGAAAGACAACTTTTGGGAAAGTTTCATGCAGATAGCTTTAAAACTGAGAGACTAGTTTGCATATAAACGGACGGACAGACGGACAGACGGACAGACGGACGGACAGACGGACGGACAGACGAACAGACGGACATGGCTAGATCGACTCGCCTAGTGATGCTGTTCAAGAATATATATACTTTATAGGGTCGGAGATGTCTCCTTCACTGCGTTGCAAACTTCTGACTGAAATTATAATACCCTCTGCAAGGGTATAAAAAGGGTTGTCTCAACGAAAGAACATTTTTATTTGAATTAAAATTGGACCCCCAAAAAACCGGCTTGGCTATTTTCCACATAGTTTATAGTTTATTTGTTTGAATGTTAATAATATTTTAGTATCAATAAAAAAGCCTTAGTAGCAGCAGACGAAATTAAATGCAACATTAATTTATTTTGGCTTTTAATTTTATTTATAGTTATAGCAGTTTGAGAGATTATTACTATTATAACATTGTAACATATTATCATTAAAACATATATAACATATTACATATTCACTGCCAAAAATTGAAATTTAACATTTTGTATTAATGGTCAGATGTTTGATTTTACTATTACATTTTTTACAAGTGTTTGAGATTATTTTACACCGCTTTACGAAGCACAGCTCACAGAGGATTTAATTAGTAACTTTGTCTTATCAAATAATGGACCGATCGCCGCCTGTCAAGTGCATTAAAAATTCTTGAAATAAAATCAGATAACAAGGGCAATTCCTGAAATATTTTGAAACTGGCCAAGGTTTTTGCGAAACATTAGTTTAGGATTAATAGTCGAGCAAAGTGCATCGCTTGGAAAATGGGACTCAATTGGAGAGATCTTGTATATCTCCTAACCATAACGACAATACTTTTACTGCTCGAAACTCTAAAGAAATGCCCGACTGGTCTTGTATTATTTGAGAAACATTGCCGGAAAGAAGCCTGAAAACTTGCTTATCAGCAATAAAGTACTTTATTTATACAGCCCTTAAAGATAGAAAACCAACCAAGTACATAATTTTAATGTAAGACACAAAATAAATGAAAAAAAAAAGTGATGTTAAAACAAAAGAATATTTTTATTGTAATTAAACTTGGACCCCCCAAAAAATCGGCATGGCTATTTTACACATATTTATATACTTTATTTGTTCGTATGTTTATAATATTTTAGTATCAATAAAAACACAGCTTTTGGCACGTTCCCGTCTGGCACTTGCTAATCAATTACCACCACTTTTTAGCTTTAGATTTAAGTGGTTGACCGAATATTACTTAATCTCTTGAAACTCCCGGGCTGAGCTCATTTTCCTAGGCTCTGCGATGGCACATGTGTCGTGGACCCGATGGAAACTGTCCTTCGGGACAGCTTGGATCGATGCTAAAGATGCTCTGGACCATTACAACCGAGGTATTGAGACCCAGTATTTCGGGCTGTGAGATCTGTATTCCATCTGGGGTTTGGCTTGGAATGGTGGACACAATTTGTCCGGGGGGCATGGATAGCGCCCATTGCCAACTCAACATCATTAGGCCGACGATCAGCACAAATCTTGATAGCATCTCCATGGGTTTCTCCAGGTGTCTCGACTGGGGAACTAATCTCGGGCTTGGGAACTGCGTTACTGACTCGAGCTTGGAATATGGATGGCGATTTCTCTGGCCCAAGCAAGCAAAGCTTTTATCTGGAGGGCTTTCGGTGAGACTGGGAGAGCCAAAAGCCAACTCTCTTCGATCGTTTTTATGATACGAGTATTTGCCAATGGGCCAAGTTTATTAAGTTGTCCAGTAAATGTTGGTTAACCAACATCACAGCAATTCATTTAAATAAAAAATGATTATAATCGCTTTGTTTATACTTTATGGTGCTCCAAATCTATCTGTTATTTTGTTTTCATTCATATTGGTATTATTATCAACAATCATTATCTGATTAAAGCTTTGGTACAAACAGAAAGCTTGAAATCGACTTTTCAAAATAAAGAAATAAACATTTGTTGCTGTTATAGATTTTGTATTAACATTTCCGCTTGGGTTTTTGGGATTTTAAGTAACTTAATTTTAATTTTATTTTATATCACTCAGTCTCTAGCGGCTTGTTAACAAATATTGATCTATCACTATTTTATTCATTATTATGTCACTTTTCCGTAAGAGACGCTCGTAGTTGTTCATGTTTGGCCTTCGCTGCCGCCTCCTTGGACTCCGCCCCCTGGTTCACCGCCTTCCAGCCCAGCCAACCCACTGTGTGCAGCACCAGAACAGCGATTCCGATCCGGACAGCCGGTCCGTACTTGAAGGCAGGTCCCCGGACCCCGTTTTTGGAACTATCCATGCCAAAAAGTAAGCTAGACTAGCGGAGTGCAAAAAGCAACTGATAGCACGTGAATAAATAAGAGAGAGAAAAAGCTTTGAAAAGCTTTTGAATATATTTCCAGGGCTGCGGGCTCTGCGATCGATGGAATCAGTTCCGATTTAATATTTTGCGAATTCTATAGAACCTTTTATAAAGTCAGACAAGACCGCAGAAGCCTGACTTCAGCTTCAAAAGTTGTTCCGTAGTAAGATGAATTCAAAGGACAATTTTTAATGCTCTTTTTTAGGAATACAAATAAGATGCATTTCATTTTAAATTCAATTCTAGCCATTTCCCTTATTAACAAGCTTACAAAATGTTCTGATTCAATAATTATGGAATTATATATTAACCCTAATAAAGTCAGACACGTCCGAAGATTTCTGGGTGTAGTGAAAAAAGATGTATCTTGTTATTTTAGGAATATACTAAGTTATATTAACTGATTACTGCTAATTAACTTTCTTTTAACTACAGTTGTTTTTTTTTTTCATTTTTTACAGCCAACAGACCAAATGAAAATACCAACTGGCAGGGTATGCAAAGCCACACAAAGCGCAAAGGCAAATGGCAGAAAATAGGAGAAAACTTGGGCGTCAAATGGCACACAAAACGCTCGTATTACATAGCCAACGAGTCCTGCCGCAGGACGATCTCCGGGAGCCCAAGGGGATGGGGTGGTGGCACTGGATGAAACTGGTGTGGAAATTTCTCCTGGCCAGGTGAAAGATTGAAGCTGCAGGCGCCAGAAATTAGCATGTTATGTTTAACGCATTTTTGCACCTTCGGCATGTGTGTGTACCTCAACTCCTTTTCCTTCTCCGACTCTCCTGACTTTTCCGACTTTTGCAGCGGCGGTTGGGGTGGTAAGGGGTTAAGGGGCAACCCCTAGCGACACATGTGCAAACAAGACGTTGCCTTAACCCATTGTGGCTTATCCAACAACAACAGCAATGCGAGAACAAGAGCTCAGCATTTTCCGCACATTTAATCGCATTTTGTTTGGGGAAAATTGTAGGAAAAGCTCACATGAATTTTAAACTGCGGTCGGAGTTGGGCTTTTTCGGTCTGAGGTTTTAGTGGGTGTTAGGAGGGATCTCTTTGAGCCGCTTACGTGTGAGTGCCATTGAATAATGCAGCCTCTGCAGCCAAATTAAATTGAATTTAAGCTGCGACATTTAAAAATTTCATGAGCTGGAATGCCACATACATACTTGTATAGTATAGTATATTCTCCACCCACCCAACCATTTGCAGACCCCTCTTCAAAATTTCGCCAGGAGAACCTCTTGCCGGGCTCATTAAATAGATGCCCGGTACGTGCTTCCATTTTGGGGCACATTTCATTAAGTGCACGTAAACGGCAGGCTGTCAACTAGCTGGGGGCGTGGCCAGCCGCCCACTTTCCACACACACACACACACACACAGACACACTCACACATAGCGAGTGACACACATGGGTAATTCCCAACGTAAACACTTTGGGAAAGCATGTCTCAAAGACATCAATTACGGCATCAGCCGCATTGCCATCAGCATCATCATCATCATCGATTTCCCGGGGATGATGATGATGTCGATTCGGGCCCCTAGGTGGCGCTGCCCTGACTGTGCTGTGCTTGCTTTTCTTTTTCCCTCGGCTCCATTTTCCCGTTTTCCATTTCCCTTCCACATTCTCCTTCTAACCGCATTTCAAATGTGTTTTTATGTAAGCACTCAAAAAATACGGCAATTGTAAGTAAACCGGAAAGGGATACAGTGTGTATCAGAATTGTACAAGTTGTGTAGTATAAACTCCAGTAACGATTGAAAATTTAGGCAACAACACAATTATAAGCAAAATTAAAAATATACTGAATCTAATTGTTAATATCTGGTCTTTATACTTTTTTCCAACAAATAGTTTAAAATCGAAACCAATTTCTCAATTTAAATAGACAAAAAGATTATTTTATATGGCTTAGCTTAATGTGTTTAGATTAAAAATTAAAATATTTCAGGGAAAGATTTGTTTTTAAGTTGTAATTGTAAAAAAAAATAAAAAATGTTAAATATTTTATAGATTTAAATTATTTATCAAAGCACATAGTGCGTCCTTATATATAGTAATATAATGTTTAAAAAGTCTATATAGTATTAAGTAATAAATAATTTAAAACAATAGAACTTATCATGACACGCACTGTCCCAAAGCCGGCACTTGTCTTTACTTTGCATTGCTTAAATAAATTTTCACTACGTGTTGTGGCGTCGTGTTTGGCAACAGGAATGGCAAAAAACGAGGGCCCAAAGCTGAACCAAATGGGACAGTTGACAAAAACTAGGCAACACTTAATTGTTGTTGCGTGCAGCAGACGAGCTCCTCAAATATTTATGCACTTTATGGTCCTACATATTCGTACACTATATAGTATGTGGCCATCTCAAGGAACTGGAGAAGTTCGTCAGTCAAAAGACGAACAGGGAAAAGTTCGCCAAGGACATGTCACTCCAAGGCACTTCCAAGTAGTCATCATCATCCACTAATTGAGAGCGTGGCAACTCTGAATTAAGCCAAAAATCACGCCCTCGCTCAAGGACCATTCATATGCATCGTTAAGTAATTAGAGCTCCACCGCCCCACGCCCATTAGTGCAAATTTTATTACAAATTTGCAGTTTTTTTCGACCACTCATTGCCAAGTCTTGAGCACGAAGCGCTCTTGAAGTAACAAAAAAGCGGAAATCTGCTTCCCACTAAAATGTTTTATAAATCTCTGGGGCGGGGCGCTGCTACCTACTACATTCACCTTTAACGGACTGTCAACGTGCAACAAAAACACTTGAAACTGGCAACTGGCAACGAGCGTAGCGGCAAAAGGGTCGCCCCTCAAGTGCTGTTTTAATTGCTTCGCAGAACAACAGCAGCAACAGTGTTTAGAGCGGGCGGAAACAACAGAATATTACTGCCTGGGGACCAGGAAGGTTTACTGTTTTGCATATTCAATTACAACAATATTAAATGTTCTCATTTAATTTCAATAAAATAATATAATGGCATGCTGACTGAGAATTATTGTGGTTTAAAAATACAAAATATGGAACAAATTTACTTCCGTGTTTAGGGAACTAACTTTAAAAAAATACTATATTTTTTTAATCAAGACTGAACCTCTTTATGTATTTTTTAATTTTCGATCCTTCACTTGTGTGTACGTATACATAATATCTTCTTATTGTCCCCTGTCCTTAATAAATAATTTTTGGATCACTCACACGGATCTCGATAACTATAGGTTCATACGACACGATTACATTACAATTAGTTTTCATATTTATTTTTAAAAAGGAGCACCACTCAGAATTCGCGCTATTCGTGTTACCGAGCGATCATCGAAGCCCTGCGTCCCGAAGGACACTGGACAAATCCTCACGCTGCCGAATAGGGCGATTCAACTCATCAACGCGGGTGCGCTTGGCTTTCAGCTAGTGTGAAAGTATGTGAAGACTGACTACAGAAATGATCCTGTGAAGTATAGTCTTGATTTTTCACTGCCCAACCTGTGGATGTTGGTGCGCTACGGGCCAGAACTGGTTGGGAATCGTAAACAAAAGCACGCGGGGCGATAAGCGAGCGCTGACGGCATACTTCGGCAGTATTAGTATCCGAAATAGGTTCTTGTTTGTAATTGCTTCAGTTTCTTGCTTGACAACTGTTGGCAGAGACCATAAGTAATCGTACTTCAGACTTTTAATTTTTAAAGACTTCTGGATTTTCACACTTTTTTGTTTCTGTATGTGTTATCATACAGTTTGTGAGCAGAAGTGAATAAACTTTGATTTCAATTTGTATGATTTGTATAGAAAGATATATGAAAACCTTTTTTGTCTTTTTAAAACAAAGTTCGGAATTAAGCGATTAAATCAGAAAAAAAAACATAATAACACAGAAAAACAATACAGAACATAGAAAAAAAACTTGGCAGCGGTGGGATTCGAACCCACGCCTCCGAGGAGACTGGTGCCTTAAACCAGCGCCTTAGACCGCTCGGCCACGCTACCCTGCTGGATTTTCTGTCAAATGCTCATTAAGAACTAAATTGAGTATCTGTATCTTACATGAGTATCTGTATCTGTATGTCGCGTTACTTAGCCGAATATGCCAAATTTAAGACTTTACTGATTGTTAGATTTATCTTGCGAAAGTATACAAGACAAAATTTTCTCTTCTGGTTTCAGCATTTCTCGACTGCAGTTATTTTTTTCAAAACTGCTTCTTACCGTTCCAAGTAATTACTCATATTTGCGGTGTTGACAAAACTATTTCGTCGAGTCATTCATTTCATTTACAGCTCCTTGCCGACGGGCATTTAAAGTGGACATCCGACAAACCTCTTCTAAGCCGCTCGGAATGCGGCTATTGTTCAGGTTTGTCGCAGGCATTTCAATTTGTCAATTGTTTGAAATTTAATTTGATTCCGGCATAGCAGCGTGCGGTCCAACATTCTTGATAAAGCCCGCAATTAACTCCATTAGCGTTTTTACCTGGCTGGCTCTAGGTCCAGGTAACTCGCCTCTGTCCGCTCGGTTGTACGTGATTTTTTGTGTTTTACCAGCAGCTGTCTGGTGTGGAAATTGAACAATTCTATAATTATTTGCATGCCGCTCGCCTTTAAATTTGTATAAATCCACGTGTGAGTGGCAAAATGTTCCCTCTGCTGACACGGCATCTGACTTTTTGCTCCCTTTTTCGGTGGCATTTTAATGAAACCGCAAATGCTGCCCCAGAACCCCTTTTCCAGCCTTGTACAGCACCCTTATGGCAACCGCAGACTTTGTTTTGTTTTGCTCGTCGTCCCGTGCAAAGATTTTTATTGCAATTTTCTAATTTCATTGCGGAGTCTTCCGTCCGACTCCGCCGGCTTCAGTTTATGGCTGCAGCCATGGGACGCCAGTCAGAGTAAGCCCAGGAATGAAATTGTTGCTGCGGTTGCATATGTGAGCGAAGACGAGAAAGACCACGACCACCGCCTGTCACGCATAAATTCGCATTTTCATTTGAATTTTAAACGCATTTCTAAGCTGACGCTGGCAGGCAAAAACGCTGACAGCTTTGCAAAATACATGTAATAAACATTTTAATACAGCACAACGGCAAAGGAAGAAGGCTTGCGCCAGAAATTGATTTCGTATGATTGACATTTTTCCTTTTCACAAATGAGAGCATTTATATGCGTCGCAGTGTGGGTGAAAAATAAAGGCAAGGTGTTGCGGTCCTAAAAATAGTTGAACACGCAGATACAGATATTCGTGTAAGATACAGATACTCATAATGGGGTAACTCTTCATGCGCATTTGACATGCGCAGCAACAAGGTAGCGTGGCCGAGCGGTCTAAGGCGCTGGTTTAAGGCACCAGTCTCCTCGGAGGCGTGGGTTCGAATCCCACCGCTGCCAATTTATTTTTTTCTTTATTATGTATTGTTTTCTGAATTTTTTCTGATCTTCACCAATAAGGGACCCTGAATAGACGTTATTTCCGAGTCTATTTTTAAAAGACTTCTATGATTTTCATTTATAGTCTTCACAAACTGTTTGCACTCTTGTCCACTAAGAGTATAAAAATCAGCAACATTGAATAACAAATAAAACATTATTGACTTTTGTTCACAAACTGTATGATAACTAGCCAAATTGGAAGCAAAATCGTGTGAGTAGTCTTTAAAAATTAAAAGTCTGAAATACGATTACTTTTGGTCTTGTCAAGCAAGAAACTTATATTACAAAGAACCTATTTCAAATACTAAAACTGCTGAGAGGCGTACACACAGCGCTTGCTTATCGCCCCGCGTGTTTTTGTTATTTTCCCTTGCGCACACTCTTACGATTCCCAACCAGTTCTGGACCGCAGCGCACCAAGATCCACAGGTTGGCCAGTGAAAAGTTAAGACTATACTTCACAGGATCATTTCTGTAGTCAGTCTTCACATACTTTCACACTAGCTGAAAGCCAAGCGCACCCGCGTTGATGAGTTGAATCGCCCTATTCGGCAGCGTGAGGATTTGTCCAGTGTCCTTCGGGACGCAGGGCTTCGATGATCGCTCGGTAACACGAATAGCGCGAATTCTGAGTGGTGCTCCTTTTTAAAATAAATATTGAAACGAATTAGAATTAAGAAATCTATGTCTTCTAAGGTGATCATTTTATCTGAGGCGAAAAAGTAATTAATGCAAATGACGCATATTAATGAAGGTGTGAAGAACATTACTTTGATGCAAATTGTTGATAAATTCGATACATTTTTCCTATTTGTCCGTGCATATCTTATGCTCGGAACCTTAGTAATAATAAAGACCATTTTAATTTGTATCTATTCAAAACTGACAAATTGAGACTAGAATGGGAAGGATGCCTGGCCCTCCTTTGAGCAGAGTTTATGAGTTCCCCTATTCTGTTTGTACATTCTGGGAAGTGCATTAAAAGTTTGGCCGCCAGGAGAAATGGGCTGTGCGTTTGGGGAAGTAACTCTCCGCTAACAACGTATTATTGGCAATATTTTATAAGCTTGCCAAGACCACCCTGTGTGTTTCCCTTGGAGTACCTATTGCCCCCCTGGTCCTTTGAAAAATTGGCATGTCGTTGTAACTTTTACTACGACTATAGAATGAGGAAAAAATAAAATCTCTTGGCACATAAGTTTTGTGCACGTTAAGTACTTTTTCATAACCATCTCGCAGTCGTTGCTGTTGTCTGGCTTTCGGCAGGGCGGAGTTGGGCGGGGAAGTGTTTTCCTATGCCTCGGGGGCATAATATGCATATGCAACGACAGAGGGGCAACAAATAATAGCGAATGGCAATAAAAAGTACGATACACATTGAGGGAAAAGCAGCAAAGAGGAAACTTTAAATAGTTCCAGCTACTTTTTCGAGAGTTTGGCAAATGCGGCGGATGCGAAGGGGCAACTGCGCCAATGTTAAATTACTTTTGGAGTAATTTTTTTTTTTTTTTGCGGAGCTTTGATTATTTTGTGTTCCGTTTTGTGTAAAAGTTTGTGGCACTAAATTAAGCGATTACAAATGGCTATTCTTGATAATAGAAATTATAAATTGATATCAAGAAAAGTTGCCAACAAGTTTTGGGGCTTCGTGAGTAAAAAAGACGCAAAAAAAAAGAAATAAATGTTTAGGAAAACAAATTATTATTTTAGCTTTACCTGACTGGGAGTTGAACCTGCTATCCCAATGTTTTGTAGTTCAAAGTTCTTAACAATTAGTAGTGACAGCAAAAGTATGCAACAATTTCTGTGTTGAGAACATTAGAATTCCATTGCTTAAATTAAGTTTATTTATTTGGGAATAAGTTGCATAAACTCTAATGATATTTGACATGGCAAGTACCGTTTTTTGTGAACTTTGCCCCGGCACTCTTCAGCCGATTTGCTTGCTCTGCACGTAGCGTCATTTTTGACATTTAATTATGGCCGCTGCCAACATAGGAGTAAGATGTAAACTCGATTTCATGGCCCCGAACTTACAAAGGGTGATTCCATATTTCGTTTCTTGGGACTCCGGCAACGCGTGCTACGTGTGCATCTTGTACCTGTCTATTGTAGTTCCATATGCAAGCCACATGAACCGACCATGTCCTATACACTGAGCGGAAAAAACTGATGACCTTTAATTATTTATAAATTATTTTATTTCAGTTCCTTAAATTTAAAAACAAAAAAAAAAAAAAAAGAGGATGAGAACTGGTTATGTAGAGTGTTTACATTCGCAATGTTTTATATTCAAATTAACAAATAAGTTTAAATAATAAAACATCATTGTCGACCTAAAACTTATAAATTATATATTTTTTTCTGACATCTGCCTACTCTAAATTTGTTAAAGTGCAAACTCTCTTTTCTCCGAGATGGACGTGCGTTGTCAAAACTGCCGCTTCATTTTTTTCCCATAAAACTGGGAGCTTTCTTCCTCTATTTTTCTATTTTTTGGGGGTCTTTCTCCGGCCATTATTTTTTTTTTGTTCCGTAGCTGGACAACTTTGTGTGTGTCCTGGCGATTTATGAAAAAAAAGAAACAGCAGCAGGACGAGTGGAGCGTCGCACGTGATGTGAAATGGCAAAGGATTTGCAGGGGGAAGTCTGTGGACAGGACAGGAGTGCACTGCTGGACAATGGCGTCTAAATTAATTATCAAGGATAACAGCGTGAAAGGTTCAGCGACGCTGCATTGTCTCCCGGCTCCTAATTCAATTACGACAGCTGGCGGCGAGTGGGGGCAAATTAAAAAAGGCTTAGGCCAGAGTTAATACGGACTTAAGCGGGGTAATTAAAAGCCAAAGCTGCAATTGCATTCGGGAAATGTCTTAACTCACAGCGGATTCCAACCCCATTTTGGGTCCTGGGGGTGGATTTGCCCCACCTCCACTCTTCGCCTGCCGTAAAATCACGAACTGCAAAATCTCTCGAGAATAATTTGAAACATAGAACAGCCTGAGGAGCTGGAAGGAAAGCCAAAAGACGATGCCGCCGAATCCCTTCCACATTAAAATATGATGAGCTCGTGAAGGCAACGGCACAAATGAAAACGAAGTTAATAAAAAAGGTTGTAAAGGGACGGGGAAGGGGGGTTTGGGGCAACCAGGTGGATCTCAGGTGTCTGCGGAGGGTGTCCAAAAAATAATCAACATAAAAAAGAAAATTATTTGCAATATTATCAAGAGCTACAAAAGTTACACGGCAGACAACAGTGGAAAGCAAAACGAAGAAATGAAAATGTTGGTCATGAGAATAAAAACCGAAATGAAAATATGGCCAGGGAGGTGGAAAAATCAAGCTGGAATTGGTTAAGGAAATGAAAAAATAAGAAAAAATGGACAGATATCCAATAAAACATATCATGAATAGTTTTTTGAGTAGCTTTAAGATCATATGAAAAGTTTAAGTAAAAGTCATTTACAAATTTTGAATATATTTTGGTAAAAATACAATAAAATTGTATATATATTTTTAAAAAAGGTCAACATTTCTTCCTTTATTAAATATAGCATAATTATTAAATTTACTTTAATTAGACCACAAAACGTACCCAATTCTCCCACTGTGCAATCTTGATAACTTTTCACAGAACATTTGCCTCCACTTACACTTCGCAACTGCAGTTCCGTTTCGAGTTTTGTAATTGGTGTTAGGTCCAGTAATAAACCCCAACCGAGAGTAATAACAACAAAGCCAAATAAACCAACAAAACTGAGATGCAAATTAAATTTGGTTTTAATCAAGCAAAGCCATGTATATTCCATGCGGGGGCCGAAATCCAAGGCCGAGTTCAACAAGCAAATCAATTAAAGGGCTGCTGCGCCTCGAGCTCCAAACAAAAGCCATAAGTCAAGATTTTCGATTCGAGTTCGACCTCTAACGAAGTCATCACTTTTGGCCACTTCAAAACAATGGGACAGGCGATGCATTAGGCACACGAAAACAAACAAACACGAAACGTGATCAAAGTTTTTCCATCGATTTATGGCCTGTGCATCCGAAAAGTGCTGGCCAACCGGTTCGGTCGATTCGGCCGGATTCATCGATCACGTCGAGAGTGAGCGATTGAAGATCACACACAGATCAAGTTCAAAGTCAATTTGGCTCTAATGTTGCTTCCGTTGCCGTCGGCAAGAGTTGGCCAAAGAGTTTTGGCCACATATAAAAGCCATACAAGATCATCGCATCCACAGCACACATCTTTTGTTGAGCGCAGTCTAAACACTTCAAATCATGGTAAGTTGAGTTATAAATTTAGGAATATCGGTCCACATTAGAAGTCCTGTTGCTTAAAAAAATAATCTTGGCTTCTTTTGACATTTTCACTAAAATATCTAGCACTAATGATACACCTTGGGCTTAATTCGATATTTTATTACTATTTTTAGAAATTCCTTATCATTGCCGTTGCCTTTTTGGCCTGCGCCTTCGCTGATGTTTCGGAGCTTTCTGGATATGATTACCATGAGCCCGCTCCTGCTGCTCCTGTGGAGACCTACATCCCCCCGGCACCGGCTCCAGTTGAGACCTATATCCCACCAGCACCACCTGCACCCGAGTACATCCCCCCTGCACCCATCCAGCAGGAGGAGTCCGTCATCGAGGAGATCGAACAGCCCGCCCAGGACGGATACCGCTACAAGACCGTCCGTCGTCGCGTCTTCCGTCACCGCAACTAAATTGGGAGCCCATTGTTATTGTTGATTTGTTAACTCGAGTGTTATTGCTAAAATACCATCCTCTGAAATTCACTTTGAGAGTAAAAAATGAAGAGAAATTGTCACTGAAACCGTGTTTGTTGTCTTGTACTTACTTTGGTGCCCATCAAAGTTTAGTGAACAGGAAAATATACCATCTATAAATGAAAATTTCTGTTTAAGATTGAATTTGTTTTTTGTAACATGTTATTTGTGTGTGGGGAATTTTAATAAGTCATTTTATGAAATGGGGGATAGAAATATAGATTTAAAGTAATACATACAGGCTTAAATAATTTTGGACCGACTTAAAACTTAAAGAGTAATATCGATCCCACTATCAGAGTTGAAAACATCTTAACATTAAGTAAACACAAAGTTATTTATAAGAATTTGTTTAAATTATTATTTTACGCACAGAAAGTCGGTGTATAGCTATAGATCTCGGAATTTTTAAATTCAATCTATATTATCAACAAGTTCCCATCGACCAAGTTCAATTTGCAATGTCAAAGTCGCCATTCTAATGGCTTCTCCTTGGTGACAACCATCCCCTCCATTTTTATTTCCTGGCAGCCAATCCTCTTCAACTCCAACCAACTCACTAAGGCCTAAACAAACCGCTCAAGGCCAAACACATGTTCTGGCTAAAACACTGGCATTCCATTGGAAGCTCGTCCCTTTCGAAAGTCTGGCAGTGAAAAGGTCAAACCGACGACTAGACCAATTTGACTTAACCAAAAATTGCTGAAACATTCAATGAGCAGGGACAAAAAGTGCTTCCCCTATCCCATACTCAATACAATCGATTGGCTTCAGCCAAAGCAAACAAATCCTCGATTACAAAATCAAACAGAGCACACAAAAACAAAGGATGGCGAAATGGAAAAAATGTTTGCCCATAATGCAAAATGGGAAAATATGCGAATTCAATAAGCTGCGAGTTGGCTGAAAGGGAGGACATGTGGCTGGCCAGGACACTCCTCCTCCTTCAGGATACTCCTCCGTCTCCTCCTCATCCTCATCCAGCTCCTGTCGACCCTTACAAGTCATTTGGCCAATTGCTGTTGACTCTGCGCTCTAAGGCGAATTTCCGCTGCCAAGTCGAGTACACATATTTTGCACTCACTTTATGCTGATGACATGCAAGTGGCAAAAATTATTTGCGCTCGTGCATTTGGCGACCAACTCCAACTACGGCCACGTCTCCACTGCGGACCAGCCAAAGGCGAATAATGAGCAGCAAACAAGCTGAGGAAATCAACAAACTATCGTCCAAGCACTGGAAAAATTTTTAGTTAATTGTAATAATATTAATATTCAGTTAAAACTAAAATCCCAAAATTAAGTTTTTAGCTTTATTTATTGGGTGAGAGAAAAAGAAGAAGGCTTGAAAATCAAAGTCTTCAATTCAAATCTTTTTGTTTTTTAAAAAACATATTAATAATTATATTATGAAAATTAAAGGAGAAAGTTTAGTTTTTTGTTCATACTTTATTTAAAATCAGTTGTTTTATTGTTACATTTTTACTTTAAATTGGCTTGTCTTAAATGAGCATTTAAGCTAGGATATAGTCGTAAAATAAAAATCTATTACTTTATTTTAGGCATTTGTTTTCCGTAAGTGTTTATTTGGTTTTTAAAATCTCTATAAAGTTCAAAAAATGTTTACTGTTGGGTGACAGATAAAGATGAAAGTCCCAAATAAATTCTTATTTTATGAAATGGAATTTAACAAGGTGGTAGTCAAAATAAAAGGACCATTGTTAACTTCAGGGACTACTTTTCCCTCAGTGCATTTGCAAGCGTGAACAGGACATAGAACCCAGGGAACAGGAGCGAAAAACAAAATGCCGCCCGACGGCAGACAGCTTCCATTTCCATTTCCATCGTCTTCTTTGTCGTGACATACGGGAAATTCCCCACGGAGTCTATCAACAGTTGATAAAGCGAAATGTGCGTACGGCAGCCGGAGAACTAGAGAAATGGAGAAATGGAAGGACCCTGGATGGCATTCTTTTCCTTTTTGGTATGTACATAAGTTTATTATTTTGAAGGTAATTGGATTTGTGTTGCAGCAGTCAAGAAGTCGCCACAGCATAATAAGAAAATATAGACGAGGACAATGAACTTGAGAGGGCGCGACAATCACAAACCCAATCCCAATCCCAAGCCCATCCCCAGTCCCAGTCCCAATCCGAATCCAAACATATGCTCAGTGCCCGAGGAATCGTTTCTGGCCGGGGAGTCCATCCACTGGACATCGTACATCGCACACACTCTGGCTATTGTTTGCACTCGTAATTGTTTTCCTAATGGATAAAGTCTATAAATTTCTGCGCCCGACGCGCGGCCAAATGCGAAATATGTCACGAATGTTAAGCGTTTTATAAACGACTTCGATGCAAGTGTGGGATAGAGTGGAATCCAGAGGATTTATTGATGTTGGCCACTCAGCGGGACGGAGAAATGGCCAGCGGATTGCAATTGTCAAGCGGATGGAGATGGAGACGGAGACGGAGATGGAGTCGGAGTCGGACTCCGATGCTGATGCACTCGCCAATGACTCGTAAATTAAGATGTTGATGGAGTCCACGAACTTCAATTCTTCTCGTGCCTGGAATTCGAACAGTTTGGGCTTCAGTTTGGAATGCCCTTGTTTGTCTTTTATTGGGACTAGCAAAAATGAGAAAAATTAAATAACTTTTAATAAGAACCTGTATATCTATTTTTTAAACCTAAATCAAATATAAAAGATTAGAAAAACATGACTGTTCATTGTCTGACATTTTTTACTTTTACTTTTAAGTTAAGATGTTGATGTCCAAAAATGTGTACCATAATTAAAGCCCTTTAAATTTAGACCTGTTTTTAGGAGGCACCTACATTTTTATGAACAAATATATATAGAATACATAAAAGCTCCTTTTAAATTAGTGTTTGGCTCTTACTTATGACTTGTATTTATTTTATTTTAATATAATTTTTGATTGTTAACTTGTTTTTCGGGATTTTTTTTCCTATTTATATATATAACTGTTTCATGTTAAATAATTGACTTGGGTTTTCTTTTTTTTTAATTTAAAATATAAACTTTAAGACGAAAGATGCTGTACACCTTTAAAATTTTTTTTATTAGAAAATTATTAACATTTTTTAAGAGCTTATGCAATCGTTGATGATGCATATTCATTAGTCGAAAGTGGCATGATGAAGTCCGAGAAGTTTGGTCATGTTCCCTTTGACAATCTGGGCTCTGGTTGGACCATCATCTTTTCGCTGGTCCGCGGTGCGCACCTCTATCAGTCGATCGAAGGCCAAGGGAAATGTGAGCCCATCGCCGCGACTCGAGAAGATGGGAACAATCCAAAGGTACCATTTGTCGCCAAGTAGATCTCGAAAGTTAGCAAAGCATCCCAAATTGAAGCCATGGTTGTTCTTCCCGCCAACGAAAAAGTACGGAGAATATGTCGATTCCATGGTGGTGCGATTCCGGGATACATTGAATACACTAACAGTGGACATGACCAGCGTAAAAATATTAAATATCAGGCATACCACGTACTGAAGGAGGTTCCAAGAATGCTCTTGTTTCAAGTAAGTGATGTCATATCCGCAGATTAAGTACATTTCGTAGAACATCACGCAGAGAATATAGAGGCAATACACCTCAGCGTAGAAAAGGAAGAGTATGAAGTACTTAAAGTTGTGAAAGTGGACGCAGTTGACCACCCACGGACAGTGGTGGTCCATTTTGAGGACACACCGGTGGCACGATCGACAGTGGTGGGCCCTATCCGGTTTTATTATCCAGCAAGTCTTGCAATATCGCACTAGTCCCTCGTTTGTACAGGTGGCTATGGGTAAATTCCTCGAGGCATTGCTAAGTATCCTTGCCGCTCCCTCAACTCCTTCATTTCGCTTTAATCTGTCCACATCCTCAGTAGATATTTTCCATTGTTCGGGAATTTTAACCGGAGAAACGCATATGCACTGAAACCAAGACCACAGGAACATGAACAGCAGGAGATGGTAGAAAATCATTAGAAGCCCCATTGTCACATATCCCTCAACTTTTTGTATGCAAATTTGGTAGACCAGAACGTGATAGGACCAGACCAACATGGCCAGGATAAGGAAAAAAGGCAGCCATCTGACCACGCAACAGGCACTCTTTCGTTCCGCAGAGTTTTCCCTGATCAGGCACATCCTGGAAAGGCTCCTCCCCTTTGATGGGTCAGCCCTAACCAATCGTCATGTTGTTGAGGTGATATTTTCTGCATCGTTCTCGAAGCCTACTTAATCTTTGTTTGTTTAAAAAAATGTTGGGAATAATATAAAATGGAATTATAAATGTGAAGTGTTTCTCTTAGTGTTGAATAAAACATTTGAGAAATCGTATAATATTTTGTATAATGTGGGCCTATATTTTATAGGCAAAGCTGATGGAATTATTTTATTTAAAATTAGACTCTAACTTATTTCCCTTCCCTTATTTAACCAGCATTACATTTGTTTTTATTATTTATTAACTCTTCAAATTAAAATCGATTGTTAAACAAGGCATTCACAGATTGACCAGCAATTCTAAGCTTGGTTTAGGATAAGATTTTAACCTGTTTCCCTTTCAATAATAAAATAGCTTAATGTTTCTTTTCATTATTTATTAACTCATCAAATTTAAATCGATTTTCAAACAAAACATTAACAGAATCCCCAGCAACCTTTTTACCTTTGCTGAGGTCTATCACATTAGCCAACAAGTCAACCTCTGCGATTTAGTTGCGGTGACGGAAGACGCGACGACGGACGGTCTTGTAGCGGTATCCGTCCTGGGCGGGCTGCTCGATCTCCTCGAAGACGGGCTCCTCCTGCTGGACGGGAGCGGGAGGGATGTAGGCGGGGGCTGGGGCTGCGGGGGGAATGTAGGTCTCCACGGGAGCGGAAACGGGTGCTGGAGGGATATAGGTGTTCTTGGGCGCCGCTGGCGGTGGTGGTGGTGGGGGTGGGATGTAGGCCTTGGCAGGAGCCGCCGGCGGTGGGATGTAGGTGTTCTTGGGTGCCGGCGGGGGTGGTGGTGGCGGTGGGGGAATGTAGCTCTTCACAGGCGCCGGCGGTGCAGGCTGGGGATAATCGTAGCCACCGGCGGCCAGTTCCGAAACATCAGCATAGGCGCAGGCCAAGAAGGCGACGGCAATAATCAGGAATTTCTGGCATAAAAAGATAATATTTTTAGATATTTGTTCTACCTTATAAACCAGTTTTTTGTATATTTTTGAATATCCTTAGATAACTTTAATCCTTAAACCCACCATCTTGAGGAGATTGGCTGCTGTTGTTGCTGCTTGGATCACAAGTCGATTTGTGTTGCTGAACTCGAAGTGTGCCTTGGGTTTTATAGCTCATTGTTTTGCTGGGGCTGCAGGTCAACCGCGGCTAAATTAATTGCATGATGCCCCCATGACACATGACACATGGGGGTCTTAGCCTCACTCAAAGAAGTCGGAAGATAACCGAAACCAAACACACACCAAAATCGAGCCTCCAATGCCAAGGCGGTTCGACGGGTTTTCTGTTTCGTTTTTAGCTTTAGTTTTTAGCTTCGATTGTCTTCGATCGGACTTGGTCAACGTTTTGTTTTAGTCTTCAGCCAACTGCAATTAGATCAAATATATCTTTTGTGGCATGCTGAAACTATGGTTTCGTTTTTTATTATTAAATCATTTTTTTTTTTATTTTGCTCATTTGATGAATGCTTGTGGATCACACGCAATATTGGCTTAGGTCTTATGTTATTATAATTATTGTATTTTATTTCGTGTCTCTTTTTCGCTCGCTTGTGTTTTTTGAGATCTGGCCAAATTATTAGCAGTTGGCCAGGCCTATGGCGTCGTTTCAAGTTTATGCCAAAATTAATTTCAATTTGCTTAGATTATGCTGATCTTCACCACTTCTGGCGGTGCTGTCTGTTGTTTCTGGTCTCTTAAGCTCTGAGCTTAATTAATTACTCAAGTCCGAACTGGGTTTGCCTTCCTCGAACACCTGGCTTATAAAACAGTTTATTTAAAAGTCGCACCATCTGGCTGGTAAACGGTGAACATGTTTCGGGGGAATGATTGGGCTGATGGAGTGAAATTGTTGCGAGTAGATAAATTGTTAGAGGTATTCTTTATGCTCAAAAAGGTCATAGACAAAAAAGACCTTAGTACTTTATCGAGCTTTGCCATTTATCTTTTAGTCTAACTTCATTTTAAGAAATGTTTTGTAAACATTTATTTCCGCAACTAAGAAATGACTAAGTTTCTTTTTAACTCTATAAATGAAATTGTAATGTTGGCCAAAGTTATTCTTCGCAAATGTAGAACTTAAATTGTCGAAATTAATTTTATTAAGTTTTGGAGGAGATTATTTATTTTCAAATAACATTTATATTGGCTATTTGATATTCATTTAATTTCTTAATGTGTATTTTTAATTTGTACAAAAATTGCATTCTTATTCCCATTGTACTTAATATCATCCGCGAACTAACAGCTTAACTTGAATTGCTCATAAAAAAAGGTTATCTCTTCAAAAATCACTTAATTTAAGAAATCGAGTAAGAGAAGAGTCTCCATTGAACACTGAACATTTTGATAATGATCATAAATATGTATGGCGACTTTACTTTGGCCTAACAACCTAAGGCAATAGTATCACTCTTCCCCTTATCACCTTTCCAAACAACATAGACTCTGTGGTATGTTAGATTCTATTTTGATTTTATTTAATAAACTTTTTCCTTGACGGGATCAGCCAAAGAGTAGCTCTCTAGTAACGGCGACGGACCACACGGCGGACAGTCTTGTAGCGGTAGCCATCGGCGGACACGGGCTCGATCTCCTCCAGAACGGGCTGGGGGGCCAGGACGGGAGCGGGGGCAAGGACGGGAGCGGGGGCGACCTTGACGGGAGCTGGGGCCGGGGCGGGGATGCTCACGGGTGCGGGGGGAATGTACTGGTTGACGGGAGCGGGCACGGCCACTGGAGCGGGGGCGGCCTTCACGGGGGCGGGGATCTCAACGTGCACGGGTGCGGGTGGGATGTACTGGTTGACGGGAGCGGGGGCGACCTTCACGGGGGCGGGAATGGCCACTGGAGCGGGAGCGGGAGCTGGAGCGGGCACCTCGATCTGGATGGGGGCTGGTGCGGGTGCAGGGGGAATGTAGGTGTTCACGGGCACTGGAGCCGGGGCCACCTTCACGGGCAGAGGAGCTGGAGCCGGAGCTGGGATGCTCACGGGAGCGTAGTTGTAGCCCGACAGGTGGGACACATCGGCATGGGCAACGGCCAAAAGGGTAACGGCGACAACCAGGAATTTCTGCCATTTAAATTAATAAATTAGTCAGGATTTAAATTAGGATTTTGTTCACTTCTTACTAACCATTTTGGATATGTGTTACTTGGAACGTTGGCGTTACTAGTATGTCTTGGACTCATCCGCCGGGTGGTATTTATACCAAAACCTGGGCGCGGTACAGAAGCGAAAGATAAACATTAATACGAGTGAAGAAGTGCGGATATCAGGGTCTCTTAATATGCCAGAAACCAGAATTTTACGAGCCACGCCAATGGTCAACGATGGTACCCTACACAAACCAGGAACAGGCATTTCGACAGCAGCTTACTCATTTTCATTAAGAAATTAATTGGTTTTCTGGAGTTTCTGGTCGTAAAAACAAGTTCCGTTGAACTGTTCAACTATTCAACTGAGGTTAATTTTTCCTAATGTCGAAGGTGTAAGGAATGTATATTCCTACCTTATTTATCTACAAATTTATGTGATTTAAATAAATGTGTTTTAAGCCCCACTAAACTTCTCATTTTGCAGGGGCAATCAAAAAGTGCCCCTAGCCCAACATGCTCTTCTCCACTCGTACTTGCTTGTTTTTGACATTGTCTTCATTTAAATATCATTTGCATAAAACATTTGTGCTTTAGTGTATCAAATTGAACTACCAAAACTAAAACCGCTCGAAAACTGGAAACCAAAACTCGAGCTTTTGGCAATAGAGGCCTACGGCCTACAGACTTTTTGGTCTAGAGCCGCCAGACGAATGGCGAGTTCAGGCTTAGGCCATTAATTTGCTTGATTAGCTATTATAAGGTGTCCAAAAACAAGAGCCTATTGCTTAATTATGTATGAGAACCTGAGCAGATGGGCCAAAATAAACCTAGATCGGGTCAAAAGTTGAAAATGACGCCAGCTAGACCGTCGCCATGTGTCACTGCCAAGCGGAAAACAAATTAGCCAGACGAGTAGGAAGTTCTGGGGTCACTTTGCCACAAGTGGGAGAAAGGCAGAATAACAACCCAAAAACTGAAGCTGAAGGACACGAGCACTTTCTCTTTTTTTAATTACACAAATTGCTAATGAACAATTTTCCGGTTGGTGCCAAAAATCCGCGGAGACTTTCCGACGCCGAAGTGATTTAATTCCCGTTGAATTTGTTTTCCCGAGAGGATAAAAATAAAACAGACGATGGCAGTGAAGTGTTGGTGTTGTCAAAAAGCTATGCAAACAAGCACTTAACCCCTTTTATTTTGACAATTCCATTATTTTCGCAGCGCCAATAAACCGAAACTGCAAATGTATATCGAACAAATACACAAACACTCTCTAGCGGAGCATAGTTGTACATAGCCGCAATGGCATGTTGGTCATGCAACACTGCGTATAAGTAATTTAGTTGTTTGCCCGTTAATAGTTGACATGCAGCAGTGCATGGTGGCGTCATCAGAGGGCAAAAAGAAAATATATAGTTCGTTCCCCTTTCGAAGAGTTTAAAAAACGAGGAAGAAGTAATGGCATCGGAGAATATTTCCCCCATTCACATTTGAATAGTTTAGTCAATCGCTTGAAGTTTAAAGGCTCTTAAAGTGGATTGAAATCTTATATATGAAATGGTTAGCATTTTTTACTCCTTTCACCCTGTTTAAATAACATAAATTATAAGCCAAAGTTCACTGAACCTCCATCTGCGTGTAGTCTAATGAATTATATATATATATTTTTGTTATATTTATACGATTATGGAAACACGAGCTTCGATCTGAACGAAGATAGCGGTAGATACTCATTCGCCTTCATAATTTGCATAACTATTTTGCATTATTGGTGCAAAAACTGATTTAATAAATATTCAAAATGCAACTTGGGACTTCAAGAGGGAATGACAAACTCTTGCCAATCGATTTTCAACATTTTTCGACGTTCGATGGACCCCCCAGCTCATAAATTCATTCGCCGCATCGGTATATAACTTTACAAATGTGTGCACGCCTATATATACCTTGGCCAGATAAATCAACGGGCGACAAATTAATGCTGCAAATGAAGTGCAACTGCTGGCATCGAACCGAGGACCCACCTGTCCAGGATAACGATTATTTTCGCGCCTCTTGCCAGGACTCCAAACCTCCCTGCCCCTCGTCCGATGTCGCCCCAATATGCAGTAACAGTAAAAATAAATGAAGGCAGTCAACGTTTGCATATTTCAGTGGCTGACGCCTCTCCACGAATTTCCAGCCCTTGTTTTCCTGCTTTATTTTTCGTTTTTGGGCCCCCCCAAACTGCTGATATAATTACGTTGATACTGTCAATTTCCCAACGATCCATGTCCCATATCCATGTGCACTCCGCACGTTCGATTCCGCACTGTCGCTTTAAAGCCGTAAGCGTAAGCCAGCCGGACAGCGAATTCCGGGATTCCGGCGGGTTCGAGGGACCCATCAATTTTTACGCCCGATTTATTGAGTGAGCAGGGGAGGTTGAGGGTACATTTCGTGTTCAATGTTATTCTGAAATTTTGTGTTTTTCTCGAAAAGTGGAATTGGTATATCTAAGAAAATGTTAAATCCATTTTTAATTTAAGTAACAATATAAAATCATTTATTTAGAAAAGTTCGATCATCATAGAATCTCAATATTTTTAAGAAAATATAAATGCAAGATTTTTAAAGCCATAGTTAAGATACCATTATAATAATATAACCGTTATAATATAACTTTAAAATAAAGTCGCAACCGGTTAACATTTTCATTTCAAAGAAGAACCAAGAACTATTTTAAAAGGTTTAACTTATAAGTTTAAAATTTCATTTTGGGGTCACATTAGAATTTGTGGTGTTTTTTATTCGCTTGACAAGTTTTGTTCGTTAATTTAGTTTTATCATATATTTTGTTTGTTATGATTGTTATTTGTTTTATTTTTTTATTCTTTCATCAAGTAAGTACTACAATTTATTTTTACAACACTAACCTGATTGTTTTTTTTGTTCATTTCTACTCTTTCCATTTATATTTTTTTCAAAATATAGGTGATCAATTATTCGAATACCAGCCATATGGAGGCCAACCGGTCTGTTGTTGATGATGACATTTTGGTTTTTTGCCAGAGCATTTTCACTTTTTCCATTGGAGCGTTTACTTTTGCATACTTTTGGGCCGGCTGACTCGTGATTATTTTGTAGTCCACGGCGCCTAAAGCATTGATTACACATTTTCAGACCATCTGGCGGCCAGGTTGGATTGTCAATGGCCCTTGGATGGGGCTATTTTGGGTGGCACATTGGGGCGAAACCGAATGGCGGAGATGTCGATGGGTCGCAGCCATAATGCGTGTTAATCAGGCATCATTAACTGCTAATTAAGTGCGGTTGGAAGTGCAACCAACTGTCAATTGTTGGGTGTCAGCCATACCTGGCTCCTTTTTATTTAATCGCCAGCCCTTCTGCCTGGCGAACCAGAGTGCAATGAGGCTGAAAATTAGCCAATCCATGCCACATTGCAGTAACTATTGGAATTTAAACTAATCGCTGGCATGGCTTAGCAAAATGGGACGATATGTAAATGAAGATGTGAAGGGGATATCACAATGTATGGCAGAGATGATGTTACAAAATTCAATTAAAAGAAAATCAGATGAAAGAAATTTGAATTAGAAATAATTACTTAAATTTATTTGGCCAATATGTTTTTCATGAGTAATAGGGAAATTTTTACTTATTTTGTTCCAAGTGTTTAAAAATTGGCTTTTTCAAAAATTAAATCAGATTTTCCAGAAATTGTGAAGTTGCTTAAAACTTTAAATTTGCTAAGTTATTAAATCAAAACATATTTTTACTTAAAAAACCTTGACTATTGAGGGCCACAGCCGAAAAACAAATTCAAATATTTAATTTGCTCACCGCAAAATCTAATCACCGCTGATTTGAGTGCGTTCTGCACGAATCGTCTCTAAATTGTAATTGCCTGTCAAATAATTTTAGTGCTCGTTACTCCTGTACTCCATAGAAGATCCTCTATGCACGTGTGTGCCGGTCGGCACAAAGCAAAAATGTGTTTTAATTCATTTAATTGAGCTGCCAATATTCGACCAGAATGTAATTAACGAAATAAGCCAGGACAATCAATCCATTGTGGTTGGGCAGAAGGGAAGAGCGGTGGAAAAAAATGATTTTGTTTTAATTACGCAATTAATTTTAGTTGCTTGGCCGTTGGTTTTTGCGCGCTTTTTAATTAGTATGCGCAGTGGCAAGTGTAATATGTGGCTCTGCGGTTGTCCTGGCATTCGGACGGGAATAGTGAGGATCGAGGTAATGGGCCCCCAATGTCTCTGCCGCAGTCCAGACATTTCCCTAATCGAATTGCCGAGGGGAGAACAGCTCCGTAGACATTTGTAGCTGCATTTTCTTGTTAATTTTCTGCAGCGTCTATCGTCTGCCAGCTGGAGGTGTCCTTGTTCCTGGCCCGCCTTCGATTTCATCCTGCCACTTGTTAGCAGCCACAAGTGGTCAGTGGTCGTCTGATGAGGCCAATCCACTCGGCTCCGTCTTCGTTTTGAGCTGGAGCCACGGAATCATCGATTTCGTGTGGGTGCACAGACAAAAATCAAACGCAAATCAAAATAGGTTCACAAAAACAAGTATATATCAAACTGACTTGCAAGAATGTATATTCTCTCATTTATTAAAAACAAAATTATTTTAAGTTAGCAATCAGCTTGGGCTCACATATTTAGACACAAAAAAAATCTTTCGTTGAATGAGTTATTGAATATAATTTTAAAACACATAACTAACTAAAATTCATTTGTGCCGTTAATAAAAGTTATAAAGTGTTTTTTTTTCTTAATTATTTGGGTGCACAGACAAAAATATAACCTAACTGAAATATTTACATAAATTTATTTAAGCGCATTCTTCGAAATAACATTCAATTTAAATGACTGAAATAAATTTGCCGATTTCTGAGTGCATCTGAAAACTTTTGAATCTAACGAGAAAAAATTTCCACATCATCAAAGCTCATTCCAGGCCATAAATTTCGTGATAAATGTGGAGTGGCGAGCAGCGAGGACTGTGGACTTGCATGGAGTCCTCCGACATCGAAGAATCGAATCCTTGGGGAGTGTTCCGCAACTTGCTTGCAACTCCTTATTATCCTGCCTCCGCCGCACTATCTGTCCGATGGCAAGTTCGATTCCACCCGTCTCGCCATCTCTTCGGGTTTCATAAATTTCCCACTCAAATGGCCAGAGTAAACTTAAGAGTTTTCTACGCCATCTCCCCGTTTCCCTCTACCCGTTTCCCGAGTGATTTGCTATGATTGGAAAACAATTTGAAGACTTTTCTTTTTGTTTAACAAATTGAAGGCGGAAATTTTTTATTACGACTCCCCTCGTGGGAATTCGTTAGGAAACAGTTTTTCGTGTTGGGCTTTGGTAGGTTTCTAGATGCGGTGACGGTAGACGCGACGACGCACGGTCTTGTAGCGGTATCCATCGTTGGACACGGGCTCGATCTCCTCCAGAACTTGGGTGTTCGTGGGCTGGTAGACGGGAGCGGGAGCTGGATGGTAGACTGGAGCTGGGGCAGGAGCTGAGTGGTAAACTGGAGCTGGAGCAGGAGCTGAGTGGTAGACTGGAGCTGGGGCAGGAGCTGGGTGGTAAACTGGAGCTGGAGCTGGGATGCTGATTGGTGCGGGGGGCACATAGGTCCTCACGGGAGCGGGAGCAGGGATCACCACTGGAGCGGGAGCTGGGATCTCAACAGGAGCCGGGGCAGGAGCAGAGATCACAACTGGGGCGGGAGCTGGAGCGGGAGCTGGAGCTGGGTGGTAAACCGGGGCAGGAGCCGGGATGCTCACGGGAATGGGAGCAGGGGCTGGGTGGTAAACCGGAGCTGGTGCTGGAGCTGGGTGGTACACTGGAGCTGGTGCTGGTGCTGGTGCCGGGGGAATGTAGGTGTTCACTGGGGCAGGGGCAGGTGCAGGGATCTCAATGGGAGCTGGGATCTCAATGGGAGCTGGGATGCTGATGGGAGCGGGAGCTGGGTGGTAGACCGGAGCTGGAGCAGGAGCTTGGACCCTGATGGGAGCGGGAGCTGGGGCTGGGTGGTAGACTGGAGCCGGAGCTGGGATGCTGATGGGTGCTGGGATCTCAATTGGAGCGGGAGCCGGAGCATGATAGACCGGAGCAGGAGCTGGCTGGTAAACCGGTGCCGGAGGAGAGTAGTCGTAACCCAAATGGGAAACATCGCCATAGGCGCAGGCCAGAACGGCAAAGGCAACAACCAGGATTTTCTGTAACACAAAAGAGACCAAAACCATTAGCGATAAAATCCTTGATCCTTCTGCCAGGTGGGTAGGCTCACCATGATGACAACAACTGCGATCTGTTACTCCAAGAGCGAGCGAGTAGCTTCTGCCTGAAGAGGCTCAACGGCAAACTATTTATACGAAAGACCGAGCCCAAAATTCTGCAAAGCCAAAAACTTGAACTGAACCTCAGTTCGTCAGCACGGCTCATCTAAATAATCAGCGCAGATGATGAGATCTTACTGGTTTTTTTTCTTTGGGGGTCGTCAGAATGAAGTAGCACCCATTCGGGGTGTAGAGTATAGCATATTGGAGCTGAGGAATGAAGATTAAGCCGCTGATAGTCAGATGGATGTGACGGTAAGGTGAGTATCTGCAAAAGTGACTTTAAGATGACATTAATCTGAGATGCAGACTGCTAACGGCATATTTAATGGGCTCAGCTGAGGTTTTATTGGGCAGCTGCTGGATTTATGGATCATGGGTGTTTTGGCACATGCGTCAGGTGTAGCCGGAAATTTGCAATGATCGTTTGAAACGAATGCAGACGCCAAAAACTGGTTGGGTTTTACGACTAGTTTGACAAAGGTTAGAAGCCATTGTTCTGGATTAAAATATATGAAATTATGCAGCAGTTTTGGCGTCGTTCTTGCAGACCTCTTTTAATGGTTTCCATTGTCTCAGGCGGATTTAGCGGGCATTATGCTAATTCAAACTGTAAGTTGTCAACAAACAAACAGACTTTTTTTCTAGGCCCATAACTTTGTTATCTAACGAACCCTTGGTGGTCAATTAATTTCTCCAAACCAGTTGCCCACGATTATGGTCATAAAAATGGGTCTAGCTCAGTCGTCGGTGAGCCTAAAATTATGGATTCGACTAGTTGATTTCAAGGTTCCACCGCGACTACTAACGAATGCTTTTCAGGAAAAGATTGAAAGAGTTTATAATTATACGATCCACACCTCAGATAATTACTTGGACCTTAAGCGCATAAAACACCGTATACCATTTCAAGTATAATTATGAATGCTTCATTGCTTTGTGGCAGCCGAAATTATTTCCTCTTCATCACGTATCAAATGCTAACATTATTCTTCGCCTCTCAACACGGATCGTTATTTCTTTAATTTGTCTCCCTGTTTAATTATAACTAGTTAATAGTTTTATTCTCTTGCAGGTCAAAAAATATACTATCATGTACTGACAACTTTTAATTGGTTTAACTATTCGGGGTGTTGTTTGCACTTCAAGTGCAAACTCGTTAATCACATTATTCATGGTCCGCATCAAGTCAAACATTTAAAAACTTGTTGGTCATTTTCAGAGTTTAGTTCAGACTACCAGGCATCGGGCATCCAAAAGTCTTTTTCTGCATTTGTTTATATTTCACGTATGTAAATGCCGATCGTGTTAGACATGCCAAGATAGCCAGATTGGAGTTTGAGTAGCATTTGCATGGCAAATGGCTTCCGTTGTTTTTTTTTACTTGGCCCGGTTTTATGGCAGATCTTATTATAGGCGAATCCCAATTAAAGCATTGTTTAGTCACTCACATGAGCATCCACACTTTTGTTAGCTTACCAGGCTGTCATAGCCGGTTATTGGGCAAATATAAATATTTGGAAACGTTTTCCCTTGAATTTGTACACTATTATTTCGGTGGTTTCCTAATTTCGTTTCCGTAATTAGGAAAGACTTTTCGAGTAGCCATGTAAAGTTTGATTTGGTGAATAATTAGTTGCATTTACATTTGAATATATATAGATATTAGCCGGTTTTTTGATATGTCAGTGGCAGGCTTTGTGCTAATAAGATTTATTGAGTTCTGCCCACAAATAACCTTTGGTTGTCGGAAGAGAAAATCCAGTAAATAATGGGTGATTAGTTTGGGTTTGAAAATATGAAAAATCGTTAGGGAGCATTATTTATTTTTGGCGAAGTTCACTTTAAAGACGGAATAAATTTGAATGAAATTATATCGATTTGCTCCCACAATTCAATGGGCAAAAAAACCGGTTGTCTTGGACTTTTTTAGATAAGCTTTTGAATCTATAATGTTGAGATGCTGATTCGTTATCATATATAAAAAATACATTAATTAAAATCTATTATGTATTGGTTACTCGTTGCATATTGTAATATTGTCTAAACTTGAAATGGTTAACTTCATGAAAATGGATGATCTTTTGGGAGTTTAAATTAGAGAAAAAAATAAAGAAAATATGTGATATCTTGACACTTATACTTTTTTATACATGGGCATATTAATTTTGGGTCAATGCCTGGCACAAGCTGCCAAAGAAAGCGGAAGAAAGCGGGAGAAAGGGGAGAGACAGAGTGGGTGGGTGGTGCAAAAATAAAGGAGGAGTCAAGTTACGAGCAATGCACAGGATTCAACAACGGAAATGAAATCACGTACCAGGGGCGTTGTCATTCACAATGAGTGTGTGCCTTAGTGTTCCGTTGTTGTTCACGTTGTTGTACTAGTTGTGGTTGTTGTTCCAGTTGTCAGCAGTCGCGGCGACGACAGAAGCTGCCATCTAAATACATATACGGGCACTGGAAATAAATTAGTTAGGTAACCAAATTTTGATAAAATATGTCACAATTTCCGTCAATGAAAAACTACAAAAGAAAATTAATAGCTTTAACCTTTCCTGATAAACTTATTCAGATTGATGGGCTTATCTTGTTCTTTACAAGTTACAAAAAAACCCCTACTCTCACTGAAAATCAAATATTGATTTTTGAGCTAAGTGGGTCGAATTTAGCTGAAGATAAGAGTGATATACCAGGCTTAATCAGTAGGCTCACGTATCTCTAGTGGATGGGTGCACAAAATGAAAATCACTTAGTACAATAGCTATACATTTTTTTGGGAACGCGAGTGCTAGAGATAACGCAACATGACTTTTGTTTCCCGAAATACTTAAATATTCGAGCTCAGCTTACTATGATCAGTCGAGATTGGTTCTCCGTGAAGAGAAGTCAACCGCAGCCGCGAACTTCAGCGTTTGATTTGAACAAAAACGTTTAGAGCAGCCACTGCATTGATGTAGTCGCAATCGGAAATGTCCGCCCTTGATTTTTGCAGGACCACTGAACAATATAACTGTATTTTTCTACTGATCCTAAAAGAAACAACGGCGGACATTTCCGATTGCGAACACATTGATAAAGTGGTTAAACAAAAATTGTATAAATTACTGTGTTTGGATCTACTGCCTGCCCTGAGGGACAAAACACCTGATCAATTCCGTCTTGAAATGACTTCAATAATTCACTCTTTGGCTAACGATGACTAAGGATCGATCAAAAAAAAGTAAGCTGCTGCCACTTAAGAACTGTTTAATAGGGCAATATACTCATTCAGTTTCCTTTCGCAGGTTTGTGTGGTTTCTGGATGTGCCTTGAATCATAAATGAAATTAGCTCTCTAATGCCACCAATTATGTCATGAACAAAAATATGAACAGGATGACAAATTCGCATAAAATGATTCAACTTGACAATCTAACTATATGAGTCATTTAGGAGTAACGCTACCTGAACATAAAGGTAAAGAATAATAATCAAATAAAAAAACATCCGCAGAGAAAAACTGAGGAGCTCATCTCGATGACTTAATTGCGAATTCTACCGAAATGAGAAATGTATACATAAGCGAAATACTTGTTCCAATTTGCTGTCACAAGTTAATACAATTTTGCCATCAATGTGTCATAGCCAAAAATGAAAATCGGATGACGAATCTCGAATCAAATAAAATTATATGCGTCATATGTCAGTGACGCGAAAATAAAAGCAAATTCCAAATTCAAATTCCAACTTGTGTCATTTATTTCTCTCAGTGCATATGTTTGCTTGTATGTGTGGACGTCTAATGTCCAATTTCAATTTGGACTGGCTGGCTGACAGAGCTTGTCGCCGTCCACCGCAAATGGCAAACAATGTATATGTATTGAAGGTGCTTCCCCACCCAAAAAACCCCCATTTCACATATCTACGGAGAGATATAGAAGGGGTGTAGAGGTGAAGTTGGCAGCTAAGTTTATTTACTTTTAACACGAAATAATAAAGTTTACAAAAAGGAAACGTGCGCCCTGCGCTATGCTGCACTTCTTAGCGATATTCCGTTATGCTCGTGCTCACCGCGCGCGGTGGTGACTGTACCTCGCCTTTGACAAAAGCCATTTTAAGGATTTTCAAGCGCACAAAGCGAAATTTTAACTTTCAAGGTGAGCAATGGAAGGGGAGCAAAAGGACGTATATACGAAAATGGGATATCCTATGATGATTTTAATTTTGATTTTGTTCTTATAGATAAGAATAATTAAAGTATTTAATGACAGACTTTAAATAGATTAAAAAAATTAATTTACATTTTATATAAAGGTTAACAAATAGTTAATATACCAATTATTGCGTTGATAGCTAGAAAAGATATCCTACAGTCCTATAAATTAAAAATTAACAAAATTGCAAATGTGTATAGACATAAACATTTAAGGAATATAATTTCAGGCTTTAAAAAATTTAAAAAGTTAATTTACATACTTAAAGTAAGGTACAGTACCTTCTTGGGTTTATCCCACCTTACCCTTTGTCCACAATTTATCATCCTCCAGTAATGCCACCTCATTTTAGGCCCCTTCCCTAAAAAAAAGGGACAATTTTAGCCAGCGCATTGCAGTGAAGGAAACTTTGTGCCCGAGTGGCAAAGAAAAAAAAAAGGTAGAAAAATTAGCGACATGCTGTGTGACGTGACTCGACTGCATTACGTAGCCGCCCCTTCGGCCCGACTGCCCAACTTCTTCCGACAGATGCCTTTGACAAAGGGGCGTGGCCAGGCCCGGCCTAACGTCACAACTAAATTATTTAAAAACTCTCTAAGAGCAAAGAGGCTTTGTGCAATTAAATGCGTTCTCAAAGCGCCACGCACACATGTGACAACATGCTCTCAGGTCCAAAAGGACGAGCATCCCCTCCGTAATGTTAATAATTACGGCGGAGTCTGAAGTCCGGACACATGTGGTGGGTTACTGTATACTGGTTACTGACTTGAGTGCCCGGTGCTTGCGTGTGCGGCTAATTACAATAAATTTGGCCAATTATTGTCTGGCATTGTTTTGGACCTGGCGGCGGCTGTAAACTTTAAGTAGCTCTCGAAGACCCGGACGAAGTTTCGTTGCCATCGATACGCTTTTTTCGGAGTGGGTTTTCCGTATCGAAGAAGCACACATTGCGGGCTAATTGTCTTCGAAATTATGATAAGAAATAACTTTTGTACGACGCCGCATTGAGCGTGGAAGTGAAGTCACTTAAAAGGGTCAGTCGGGTCAGCATACTATCGTAATGGTTATAATGCCCCAATTGGAATGGGTAAGTGAGTGCCAAAAGGTTATTATTGAATTTGGCAAGGCTCAAGGAAATTGCGGAAGGGAGGTTGAGAGTAGGTTGTGGGTATTTTAAAGGGATTACAATTGAGCTAACATATCAATTCATTTGTTGTTGAAGCTTATGAGTTAAAATACCTTATGATTCTGAAAACCAAATTATATTTCATATTATTTTATAAATGAAAAGTAATATTTGATTGAGGTCATAAAAAGAATTTCCACATTTAGCTTAGTTTAAGGCACTTAAAACCATATAAAATAGATTTGCAATTTGTATAAATATATTTAAAGAAATGTTTTGCTGCCTAAAATCTCATCCATAAAGTTTGAGCAGTGGAAACGATTTTCATATTTTGATACAAAATAAAATCCAATTTTTTTTAAAACAAATAAATCCCTTCCTTGCCTTCTCTTACTGTTTTGTTAATCTTTTCCACTTTTAGTTCTCCACTTCACTTGTGCATATCAATTGCCCGATGCCAATTCTGTCTCACAGATATTTTTAGCAATCATGGCAAATCAAAACAAATGTCAAACGATTTGCTTTATAGCCTTCGCCTCAGACCGAGACTGCAGTGATTTGCCTGGGGAATATGGCAAAGAGTCCTTCATTTTTATTATCCTAGCCCATACAGCCCAGCAGAAAAGGGGTCCAACATATGCGCGCTTCATAAAGTGCCCCCTTTTCTGCTTCTCTGGTGCATGCCAAATGCCAAAGTAGATGCAGTCAAGTCGTGCGCCAGCTGAGAGCGCAATTTGGTAGAACAATACTATACGTATACGCCCTATTGTTCTCTATCTTTCAACATTGCACTGAGAAAATAAAATATTATTTCAAATAAAAATAGTAGATTGTTGCTTATCACATGCTTTTCAATGAGAAAATTTACGGATAAGCATTTATGATCTAAAATTTTTGAAAATTTTTTTGATAGTGGTTTTTTCTTTGCAAACTTGGTTCATTTTTGTTTGGCTTAACTTGTTTGCTTTAAGCTCTACTAATCAAACTTATTTTGCACTATGTTAAAAAAGTTGTTTTATTATAATACAAATACAACTTTATGTACTACAAAAAAAAGGTACATTTGAAGTCCAAGCTACCAGGTATGTCTTTTAAATTGGAACAATTTTAATTAATGCTTGTCTCTTTATAAATTTTAGGCCATCTTAGAGTTTTTAATATCCGTTATGATTTTAGATAATTTTATAATCATTTTTATCCGTGTAACTGCTACTGGCATTTAGAAACGCCTTTGTCTTGGTTTCGGTCTTGCGCCTGCCTTCGTTTCTGCCAAACGCGCCATATATTTTTTAGGTTTATGTCTTCGTTCCCCAGCAAATATATCCAAGGAGCCAGCGAGCGGGACAATAATGCATATGTCGGGGCCCGTTGTCGTTTTGTTTTATTGCATATTTATTTTTTTATAGCGAAAGTAGCAAAATATAAATCGTTGTTACGCCGTGTGTGCCACGGTTTTTGGCCCTGTTTGCCGTGCTCCTGTTCGTTTTCGATTTTTTTGGCAGGCACACAACAGCCATAAGCTCTGCCAATCGCATATGGGCCTCAACCAACCGTACTCATGCAGAATTAAGTTCTCGTTGCGCTTTTTGCCAGAGCTTCCGAATCCAAAAGAGTCCTATACATATAGTGGCGGATGGGGTAGATAGATGGTAGATGGTCGATGTTGGGCCAACCAGCAGAATTCAATCATGAAAGTTTTTCTATAATCCGCTTTGCCCCGATTGCATTTCAATTTGCCATCATTTTGGCGCAAAAACTTAATTTTCCACCAATTAGTTTTATGGGCAGGAGTTGGGAGGACACTCGTAATTGATGTGTGTGTCCTACAAAAAACATTTAAACTTCGAGGAGGTTGCGATGCTGGGGAGTCAGCAGCAAAACAACTGACAATAGTTTCAGTCGAAAGTTTCAAACTTTTTAAGGTTCAATTATTGCTTTTTGATATGGCTTCTGGTGTCTTGGATTAGTAATTTTTTGATAACGAAAAATCATTTGAAGAGCTTTTTGATAAATTCTTAAGTGTTTTATATATTTAATACAGGTTTGCATATAAAAATAAAATTATATATCAAATTTGATATGATAATTTCCATTTTAAATTATATATTAATCCTGCTTACCGATTTCTGTTGGTTAATTTAAATTTAAGAAAAATACGCCGTTTGGTCCGTTATAAATTTTCCTTTTTCTAACTAATTTTCGTGTTGGTTTTTTCTTAGTTTCTTTAGTTATTTCTTCTTATGGATTTTAACCCTTAAATTATATATTTATATTTAAAATGCCTCTTTATTTTATAAATATATTTATATTTACTCTAAAATGATTGATTAAATAGTATCAATAGTATCAGTTAAGAACTACTAGAAAAAATAAAATGATCGTTTAAAATAGATTTTTTTTTTTTAAATTTTCAGGTCTTAGAAAAAACTAACCCCATTGACCTCTGCATTGCTGTTTCTGAGCGTTTATTTTAATGGCCTTTTCAGGCATCATATGGCGCTCAAAAAGTCATTGAGCATTTTTATTGATCCCTAAACGCTCACACACACCACACTCACACACACACACACACAGACACCTGACGACAGGCGAAGCGGAATGGCCGCCAAAGTGAGCTTCGATAATGCTAATTTTATTCAAAGGTTATGCCATTACAATCCAGTGCTGCAGCCGGGGCCAAAAGCTGGCCAAATACAGACAGGACGAGAACGAGGACGAGGAGCTGTAGGAGATATAGGAGCGACAGGAGCTGAAGATATGGCTTTTGCAAGGACGAGGAGCGATGAAGATGGAATGCAAGTACGTGAAGAAATTCACGAAAAATTACGAGAAACGCCGGGCAAAGGCACAGAAAGATGCACACAAAATTGCAAATCGTGGCCGGAACGAATCCGGAGACCACGGAGACCAGATGAGGCCAAGATGGACGGAAGGACAAGAGCCCTAGTCTTGGCCAGGAGAACGGAGAATGGATGCATCCGAAAGGGAAGCCTCGCCGCCATGCAGCATTTATTGCCAGCGAAGCGTATTTGGCACATTTGATGCGGCGCATAATGGGGAACGCCATTAAATGTCCATTGACATGGCAGCCCAGGTCCGCTGGCCAGCACAGTGGGGCAAAAGCGATCACGAGAAGAACAAAACTATATAATTCCTGTATGAAAAACGATTTTAATGTGAAAAAATAAATAAAACAATTTATTCTGTACAAAATATATATATGTTTCTTATAAATATAATTTAAATATGACAATAATTATATATATAAGAAATATAAAAAAAATCTTTTACTTAACTTTGGAAAATTTTTTTTTTGTTAAAAAGGTAACTTTGATCGTACATATTGTCGTATTATAATTTAATGCTAAGCTAATTCTGTTTGCAACTTATCTGATATACTC